CTGTGCTATGGTATCTTCCACTAAACACCAAATGGTCTTGAAGGGTGGGGTAGAGAAGGGGTGTTTTCTTGAACACACCCTCTGGTGTTGTTTAAAACAACTAATGCCTTAAGGTTCCTGTCCACTAATGCATGTCTCGACATGTTTGGCTCTTTAGAGATGTGCTCTACCACTCAAACAATTAGCAGGATATGGCTCCCATATCACGGGCTGAACCTCGTGACTGGTACTGAAGTACCTATTCAGTTCAGCTCTGATGTAATACAAGGGGGAATATGGCTCCCACGCCATCATGTCTACTCTGTTGGAAGCCATGGAATCCCTCGCAGGTCTCATCAATGCTAAAGTTTTCAGGCAGCATATAGCGGGCACGCCACCATGCTAAGCAGATGGACAGCAATAAAAAACATGTCACTTCCCCGAAAAAACCCAACTTCCTTGACCATATACAAAAACTACAACACACTCCACCCCTCTTGTCAAAGCCCCCAATATCCCACACTTATAATTTTACATGCACGCACTTTGCCTGAATGGGAGCTTTATTTCAATAAAAGGTGTGTGTAAAATTAACTCTACCTTATATACTACTTTAATAGCTGGATAAAGTCTCATTAGAGATGGAAAGAAGAACAGGGTCTTGATCACTGTCTTATTGTCTTATTATATTTGACAGTCCAAGTGAGGTGGAATAGAATAAACAGGGTCATCAGAGGAACAGCCTGAAACTGGCAAGTGGTCAAAGGATTTAAGGATTTTAAACTAGAGTAGGATCATGTTAACCTGGATCTTAATCCAATTAAATTCACTGTGGCTCCTCAGGTCTTCATAGTTCTGTTGAAACAACTGGTCTCTGTTTGAATATTTTTGATACTTTTTACTTTGATAAATACTTTAAATATCACTTAAAGCTCCAACCATCTCAATGTAAATTTACATCTCCTCTCTCAGGCTTCTCTCTGGAGCTCTAGTAACAACAGGTCAGTGAGTCACTGACTGTTTTCTGATTTATCCAATAGAAGTATAGCAGATTTCAGATACGAGAAACCAAATCCTGCAAGGTTAGATGGCGGGTCCAAGTGGGCGGGGCTTGGTGACTGCTTGGTTGTGACATCACAAGGTTCCAGAAGTCCTGACGGCTGGTTTTAAGGCTCAGTTTCTGAATACAGGCTGTGTGCATTTCTCTGTGGACTTAGACTTTGATACTTTCACAGTATTAATATAGAACCTAGACCTGATCTATAATCAAACTGGAATTACCTCCCCGGTGGTTGTTTCCTCTTCCAACCAGTCAAGTATCTGGATATATAGTCTCAGTCTCTCTTTCCTGAGTTACAGTGTTAAATAATGGCCAGAAGTGTTTTTATAGAAAGTTATGATGTCACAGTGAAGTTGACCTTTGACCTTTTGGATATAAAATGTCATCACTTCATTTTATCCTCATAGACATTTGAGTTAGATTGTGTCATAATTAGTGAATGAATTTGTGAGTTATGGCCAAAAACATGTTTTGTGAGGTCACAGTGTGTCAGAAGTGATGACATTCTCTCTGGGTGTTCCTGATATATTGCATTCACAAAAACGTGAGATCACTGTGACCTTGATATTTGACCTTTGACCATCAAAATGTAATCATTTCATCCTTGAGTCCAGGTGGATATTTGTGACAAATATGAAGAAGTTCCATGAAGATAGTTACTGAGATATCACCTTCACAAGAATGGGACGGATGGACGGACAACATGAAAACAATATGCCTCCGGCTCTGACTGTCATCAGCGCAGAGATACAAAAACACACAGACATCTACCTTTATTCTATATAGACCTTTAAATAATTCAGGCTCACATGATCTTAGCTAGCTAAAATGATCCTTTGTATTCTCATCCCACCTGGTTCTCTTCATGTTTAGGGTTCATGATGCAGCTAAGTGTAAATAAGATGCACTTCCTGGATGTTTGGACTGAAGGTACAAATGCAGATTTTCCAGAACCTTAAAATCCAGGTTAATCAAATCAAGCTAGCTGTTGCCCATATATGATGAGCAAAGATCAGCATCACGCCACCCTGCTAATCAGAGTGTACTCATTCATGTGTAACACAGCAGCTAACACTTGTGACATTCATTCAGTATTTATGTGACTCTATTATGTATTACCACATAGGCTTTAAATGGGATGTCAAGTGTTTATGTGACTGTTAACACTTACTGGTTTTAGTATTCTGTCCTGGGCTAAAATTAGAAGCTATAATCTCTCCACCCAAACACCATAACAGACAGCAGCCTCCAAAGTCAAATCTTCTTATTTTGGATATTTCATCTGGCCGGGTTTTTAAATCCTCTGCTCTCCCACACTGCAGGCATGATGGGAAAATACGTGTTTTTCTCAAAGCACTCACGTGCCCTTTACCCAAGTGAACAGATGCACTCAGCCATGATCCTTTGACGTGTTTTTATTAATTTCACGTTGACATCAGTACAGAGACCACATACTTTTTTTTTTTTCAGTTTTCTTTTTTTCCTGCAACATCTTTCCCAAAGCTTCAAAAATTGGAACCAAAGTCATAGCTAATACAAAACAAAGCTGATGTTAGTGAACAACGTCTAGATACCAGTAAAGAGTCAAAAAGCAAAACAAGACTCCCCAGAGACAAAGTCAAATACACTCCTGCCACACACTCCCACACCGATGAAAACACAGAGGGACAAACAGGTAGAGGAGAAAAGCAACATGCTGTGAGGGAACAGATTCAAACGTGTCATGTTTTATTCATATTATATATTACACTCTAAAGAAATAAGCTAACTACGAATCTGAGTAGCAGTGATCTATTTAGCCTTGGTCGCACGCTAACGTAGGTAACACGGCCTTTCCTGAACTGAAGTTTCACTTAAAGGTGCAGTGCATAATTAGCATAGTTAGCTGTTATAGCACAACACTTGTGGGGTGAGGTCAGACTGACAGCTTGAACATTAAAGGGACGATTCAACCAAATTACAAAACACACCTACCACTGGTTTCTAACCAACAGATAGATTTGGTTCTATTTTCTTCTTCCACTGCGTTTACATTTCTAACTTTTGTCTCATTCACCTCAGTTTTCAGATTAAATTCAGGGCCTCAGAGATTTTCACCCCCACTGTAATACAGTGGAAGTTTAAGTTTTCCTTGGAGCCATTTTATACAGAAGAAAAAGTCCCTCATAAAACTGTTTATCCAGAAAAACAAGGACAAAGATTTTGGAAAATTCTGGATTTAAAAAAAAATTTTGTGACGAAATTTATTTACCTCTACTGTTTTCAAGGCGAAAGCAAAAGTTACAAATGTGACTACAGTTGTCTGAATTCTGGAAAACAGCCAGAGATAATGTTTATAATTTGATTGAACTGTCCCTTTAAATAAACCAAACATTTAACACAAATGTTTTCCAGTGGTTTGCAAACGTAGACTTGTAAAGCTACAATATGCAACTTCCTCACATTCAAATAAATAAACAGGATGCATAATAACATTATCAGTGTCTGCATTCAGGCCTGATTCCCCCTTTTCACACTCGCAATCTACTTCCTTAGCGCCTGTGGAGGCTGCACAGATGCTAACTGCTAGCATCTCGGACGGGATCGTTGCATTTTGGTTTGAACGACCCAGAGGCCGAGCGAGACACCGTGCATGAGGAGTTAAGCAGGACGTGTGTATGTGTGTGTGTGTGTGTGTGTGAGGTGATCAGGGAGACACACAGCAGAGGGCATGCATGGAGAGGAATGTTCCACCAGAGAAAACATTCAGCACACAGGAGGATGTCTGAGTAGTCTGAGGTGTTACTGCATTGAGAGGCAGTGAAGGAGGATCCTCCACTGTTGTTCATTCAGTATTCAGGGGACATGTACTGGAAATTGAAAGCAACACTAATATACTGGTAATTTAATTTCCTTCTACATACTCATCCCTTAAAACAATATGGAGATGTAGCAGTAGCGCTAACATATGACTGTTTTTTTGTTTTTTCACTGAATTCAAAAACACCATTGAAACAATCACAAGTAATAATCATATCAAACAAAAGTCAGGGTCAAAATATGATACAGCCTATAGAAAGGGTGAAAGTCTCTCCAGTTTATACTATGACATGCGCTTCATGGCCGTCAGAGAAAAACAAAGTGACAAACACAGAGCTCTATAATAACCACTCTCCAAAATATCACCCTCTAACCCCTGACCTCCAAAATACCTCAGCTCACTGCTGAGCTTCGTATGGAATTTAAACTGTGCCAAAATAATTATTTTGATTCAAGACCCGCCCATATAGGAGCAACAGGAGTTTCGATTGGCTTGACTTGCATAAAATAACATAATACATTTGTGATTCCATTTTAAATTCTTCAACTTAAAGAAATTTTTTTAAATAATATTTTTGGGGCATTTTGGGACCTTGGAAGTCATTTGATATAAAAACTTTTGTAAGAGCTGTCAACTCTGTCACCATTTCAAAGCTCTGGAAAAAAAAACAGTAAGTTGACATTGTGTTTTTTGTCAAATGATAATGTATAAAGGTCTTGGCACAGTCTAGACTTCATACTTTTACGCTGGGAGGACATTTTGGTGATTTCGGGGGGGATAACACATCAGAGAGTGTATTTTTTCAACCTATCAAACCTTCAGTTTCAAATGATGAAGCTCAATGACACTAACGGAAGTCTTACAAAGCTGTTGTCAAGCTAGTAGGGAGTCAAAGCAGCCATCCTAATTAATATCAATAATAGTAATAAGTAGTGATAAGAATAATCAAAATTTACAAGTGAAAATGTGAAGTCTCAACACTTTGTGGCTTGAACAAAAAGGAGTTAGGACTGCTGTGAGTGAGGGAACGTTTCTTTGATATAAAAAGCGAGGCTAACATGTTCCATACAGCAGAGAGCCTGTGGTCGTCCTCAGGTGTATATATACAAACAGATAACTGTTCCAGAAGAGGGTGAACTAGACCAAATTATCACAGCTGGCTCAGTGTTCCAATCCTTTTATTTCAACCTGCTCAAAAGGTCTGAAAAATAAAAGTTCAGTGCATTGCAGAAACTTACATACACAAGTGCCTGTAAGGTGAATGGAAACAAACTCAAAAACAGGCCAATCAATAACAGCAAACCCATTAACCAGCTCCTAAAAATGAACTCATATCTATCCATACAACAGCCGGAGAGCACGAGAGCAGGATAAGACTATCAACAATAACACCCAGAAGGTTGCTTTATTCCATTTTTTTCTTTTTTTTTTCGTCTTTATTTTACATTTTTGTTTTTCTTTAACGTCTCCATCTTAAATTATCCTTTTACGTTCATGGAAATGTGGTTTTAAGTACAGACATTTGCTTTTTGGTGACATAAACAGCCATCGTCCACCCCCTGCTCGCTGTACATGACGAAAACCAGGTCATAGATTCAGTCTAGTTCACTCGACCCTGCCTCCATTCCCCTGTGGCAACGCCCACAGACAGGCGGGGTCCGGGCGCGGCGTTACATCACTTCCTCGCTAGCGATGCGCTTCCTGTCTGCACAGGCACAGTTCTTTTCTAATGCTTGCAAGTTAAGCTGCGCAGTAGTTTTACATTGAATATCGAGTAGCTCAGAGATTTTCTACCTAGCAAGGTTCAGTGTAGTAGGGTGGTGATGGTAGATGGAGTAGGGAGGGGCAGTTAGACTGGGGGCGGGGTTAACTGGAGAGGGGTAGGGGGGAGGTAAGGGGGTTTAAGATGGTGATGGAGATGAGGATGATGGTGATGTGGAGGCTTCTAATGGAGGGGGGGGGGCTGATCATTCAGTTTTGCTGCGCTTCACAGCTCCGGGCAGTTTCTCTTGCAACCTGCAGGAGAGAAACACAACAGGCCTGAGACACGACAACCATCTGTGGATTGAACCAGTAAAACTGCTGGTGATTATCTAGAACATCCTCTCACTGAAGTTTAGCTTCACTTACTTGGCGATTGTGGTGTTGACTTGAGTACGTGCCACGTCGATGTACTGATCAATCTGGGTCTGGAAGACAAAAAAGATTAAGTCTTACTAGCTACTAGTGAAACCTGTGAGCTACTGTTACAGTGTCAGGGAAGCTGCTTTGAAAACGGAGCTTTGTGAGTTACCAGTGACTTCACAGTGGAGGAAGTCGAACTATAGCAAAGCTACACTGTGGAGAAATCTAAAGCCACTGAGAAAAAGTCGTTCAAACTGCTTCGTAAAAACTGATCAAATTGACAATGTACATGTGATATGTTTTGTTCCCCAAAACTACAACAGAGTATTAGCGCCACATCGAAGACAAAGAAAAAAATTCTGAAATTTTGAGAACAAATTTCAAGAAACAAAGTCATATTACGAGAGTATTACAAGATACAAGTTGTATTACTGTGAGAAAAAAGTCATAATATAACCAGAATTAAAAATGTATAATTTTGAGAGAAAAAAAACTTTTTTTTACGAATTTTACACAAACCAATCAAACAGGTGAAAGGACAGTCAGTGTCAGCCAGAGCTGCTTCTGGCAGCTGCTGTTTGTCTTTCTAACAATAGAATAGCCTCAGTTTCTTCACAAGCTTTTCAATATGATTATGATGATGATGATGATGAGCCAAAAGATGAAGTTTCTCCTTATTAGTAAAACCTGTGCTAAAGTACAACCTCACAGGATACTCCACATTCCTCATTTTCAGCTTCTGATATTTCCCCTCTAAAACAACATGCAACTTAAAATTACAACTTTATCCTCATAATATAATGATTTTTTTCTTTCAATATGAATACTTGACTCTTGAAATTTTGGATTTTTTTTTTACCCTAAGTACAGCCCGACTACTCTGTGGTACCAAAACACCCCAATATTCATGGGAAAATACAAAGAATGTCAGTTTGGTTATGTTTACAATAGCTGCAGTTTTCTGATAAAGGTAAAATGTGTCACACTGTTGTGCACTGTTATCACCATGAACAGTGTGACACCCCGGCCTACAAATCGTATTCTCAAAGATCACATCATCATTTTTAAAAACTTTCGGTGAAAATTAAAAAAAGGATAATTCCAGCTGAAATTGTGACTCATATCACAATATGATTTTTTTTTTCAATCCTGTCTCAGTATGACCGTGGTGATTCACTGTGAGAGCACTGAGCAACACCACCACCCTTGGCTTTTGCATGTGAGCTATGCACGAACTACACAGGTCAGGCGTGGTGTCTGTCTTTACAGTGGTCAGAATGAAAGAATAAGGGGGCGGGGCTGGTGAAAGGGGGCGGGGTCGATTACAGTAGAGGAGCAATGGTAAAATAAATATAAAATCATTCTTTTCCTATTATGGCCCAAAACCCTTTGTAGTTTCAGTTTTAACTACAGAAAAATAGCAAGAAGTCATTTAACTACTTGATGCACATATGGCTGTAGCTGAACTACCAGCAAGTTAGTGCAAAATGTGGTTAAACTACATGTTTAATTACATGTAGTTCACTACTCGCCAATACTACTGTCACAAGCCTTGTGGTGTAAAAGTGAAACATTAAGTCTGTGTTCTCAGTGGCTTTTAGACGAGGATCAGAGGTCCGGAGAGTTTGATGACCTCAGGATCTCATCTCAGCTGATGTCATTCTGCTGGTTTTATCAACCTGTGACCTCTGACCTGCACTGCTGGCAGTCTGCAGCAGCAGATGGATGAAATTCTAGAAAATGTTGGAAACTAGTTGAAGGCGTAATGTGGACCTCAAACTGTCGACATGCAGCTCGGCCTGCAGCCTGACAAACTATGTGCAAACCCTCACCTGCGGCTATGAACTCTGGGTAATAACTGAAATAGAAGGAGATCAAAGATACAAGTGGCCACACTGAGTTCAGAGCAGGTGAACTCTGGTCTTCAGGGCCAGGGTGAGAAGGACGCCTCCTAGAAGCATTACAGACACCTCCAACGGAGAGGACACAGAGACAGCAGAACACAGAGGACAGGACTTTACATCCCACCTGGACTGAGAACAGAACCAGCAGGACCTGAACCCAGATCAGCAGGAACAGACAGAGGGAGAGTGAAACCTACCGTCTACCTCCGTGTCATATCCATTTATGCAAGGTGGTGCAAGTGAGGAGCTGCAGGTATTGTGATGCACTCACTGTTTGAACCTCAGCTGTATAACCACCATGATGATCATCAGTCTGAGCGTCAACTCTGCACCAGAATCCACTGACAGAGCAGCTCATCAACTGACCGATGACAGTCGCAGAAAATAAAACAAAGCTTCAAAACACACTCATGTGCATCAGTGCGATGCTGACAGCCATTTTGTTTGACCCCACACCCCAATGACTTCATGTTCTCAGTAGCTGGACTCTAAGCAGCAACAAGGGGGACACAGAAAGACTTCAGTGTCTGATCAGGACCGGAGTCATCCAGTGAGCTCACTGCTGACGGGTGTGTTGTCAGTGCTACTCTCAGAGGGTGTGTGTGTGTGTGTGTGTGTGTGTGTGTCATCTGACATTCATCATGAGCTGGGATGGAGGGTCACACTCTCACCTTGTTCTTCTCGTAGACTGGAGGCACAGCGAAGAGCAGAATGTTGGCTGGAGACACAGACAAAGACGAGTTAGATTTTAAAGAGTAAATTCATTTTCACATGAGGCATTAAAAACCTACGTCAGCTGTCTGAGTTTGTTTTTAATATTTTACACACTGACATGTAAGAATACAATATTAGAGCCACCTCACAATACAGTGAACACAACAACAGCATCCACCACAGTCACTATGACGACCACAGAGGTCATCAATCTTTCTCTTCACTAAAATCTCAAACACTGTGGTCTGGTGGTTCTTTTAACCACCAGTTTCCACTGTGTCCTCACAGTGATGAGCTCTGAGCAGTGGTGAGTGGTTGTTGGACATTTTGCCCTCTCAGGACAGAGACAGGCTGCCCTCACCTGATTGGTGGAGCCTCTGCAGACAATACCCCACACTTTAAAAACTAATGTCACTACTCTGCACATCAGACACTATTACATATATATTTTTGATTGATTTCTGCAGGGGACAATGTGAAACGTTATTCTAATGAAGATACTGCAACAGGACAGTTTTCTGTTTGGAGACTAAAACTGTTTCAGTCGTAAAGTTTTTGCTTCATGTGTTTTATCTGATTTATCTGATATTTATCTGTTTTTGTACAGTACAGTATCTGTCTCCGTCCAGTAAAACCACAAAACTTTGTGATGTCACAACAAAACAGTCACCAAGCTCCACCCACATAGACCCACCATCCAACCTCTCAGGCCCCGCTCAGTCAGCCAATCAGAAGAGAGGCTCAGAGCCTCCTCTCTTCTGATTGGCTCACTGACCTGTTGTTACTAGAGCTCCAGAGAGAAGCCTGAGAGAGGAGATGTAAAACTACACTGAGATGGTTTTTGGTTCTTAAAACCACAAATATATCTTCTTATGGATCAACACTTCAAACACAAGAGACGAGGAAAAAATCTTGGAACTTTAACAATCTCTGTGCAGCTACTCCAAGATTTAAAAGTAGAGTAAAAGGAATGAAAGGACGATCACTTCAATTTAAATATTGCTCTTCATTAATAGCACTATGGTATTTTTTACGCTTGTGTCAACAACCATAGTCTGAATCTGTCACAAGTGTAAACAAGTCAATTCAACGGGTCAATTTAATGGCTTTTCTGTGACTTTGCATGAATAAATGGAATCTTTTTTGATCTACATTCTGTCCTCTCTGGTTTGTTAAACTGTCCTGAGACCAGTTGAGGCTACAATCTGCTCTCAGAGGGAAATAATGAACTAGGTCAAAACATGAAATTTAAAAGAACAAATCTCAAACACAGCATCATAAACTCAAGTGTTTACTGACCATTCATATGTTAGTGTTAGCATTACCTTTGCTTCACGAGTTACAGTTCTCAGTGGACCAAGAGCAAAGAAGAAAAATGTTTGAGATGAGAATGTAGCTGTGTGTGTGTTATTTATGGAGTTTACAGGTGATTATCCTGAATGTAAGAATTTCAGTGGGTAAAACAGAAACAGCCACTTGATGAGTGTTGCCTGGTTCCCACGGCTCTTACCGAGGATGAGGATGGTGATTCCATTGAAGACGGCTCCTACGTAGGTCATCAGCCACATGACCACAGCCAGCTGGGGAGGGAACAGACATAGAGGCACAGAGAGAAACTCAGCATCCAAACACTGCACATACACCCTTAATACATCATTAGTTTAGCCGATACCTGAGATAATCCCACTGTATATGTGTTACATAACAGAGGCCCACACAAGCTAATTAAAGGTAAAAAAAAACACTGATAGTGGAATCACTTCTACAATAATGGAATTATCTGTCTTAAAATATGATCAGATCTTCATCTAAGTTACGATAATGAACAAAGACAATAAAACAAATCATTTTGTTGCTCTTATTCTTAATGAAAACATCATTAAAATACCCACATGTATCTGAAAACCTGTGAACCTCTCGACTAATGACATGAAGAGAGGCTCAGAGTCAGTCAGTGAAACCAGATTGGAGGTTGTGGGTTAGTGACACTGAAACTACTGGAACATGTTTGATGGACTGATGAGACTGAGGTTGAACTGTGATAAGAACATGCAGCTCTATGTGTGGTGTAAACATTTCTCTGCACACCAACACAAAAACATCCTCCAACAGGTCTCTGAAGGGCGGTTTTGAAGCTCAGAGTGGGCTGCTCCACCTTTACCATCTTGGCAGTGTCGGACTCTGCCCCTAACTCCGAGCTAATTCAAAAAGTTTTTGGTACTTCAGTGTTGGCTTCATTTTCCAGCTTTGGAAGCTGATACTTGGTGGCAACCTGTACGTTCCTGCACAGCTCTGCCCACCTTCATCTGAGCCCAGTCTTCATCAGTCAGAATGACTCTGTGTGGGTGTGAAGAGACTTTAAAGGATGAACTGGAACTTCTTTCCAGGTCAAGATAACGACCTCTAACCAGGAACTTTCCAGAACCTGAATTCTAATAACTCCTTGTTTTTTCACTGTATCTTACAATTTGGGACGTTTTACATAAAGGTCAATACAAAGGCCACAGTGAGGTTGTCCTCATTATTATGTGCCGTTTGACAGGTGGGTTACATCAGCAGACAGAAGCAGAGGCAGTGCTGATATTGTTATTGATTTTCTTTTATGTGAACATCAGATGAGATAAGAGTCTGTCTGTCAGCTGTGAATCCAGGGCAGAGCTCGGCTGACACAAACCAGCCGCTGGCTCAAAATGAGGTTGAACCACTTTGCAGTCTTTCAGTTTGTTCCACTTGAAGCTTTGTGGTTACTTATTTGTCTATTTTCAAATTCTTTCTCTGCTGTGTTTTGTATCACCACATCTGCCAAAGGCCAGACTTAATGTTTGATTAAGTAATGTGATGACACATCATCTTGATCATTTACAACAGTGACACCAAAGCCAAAAGTACCTGAAACTAGTATTTACCATCACCTCTTGTTCCCAAAGCAGGTGGAGAACAGTGGACACAAAACTGTGAGACAATAGTCTCTCTGGTAACTGTAAGACGACATTAAAGAAGGGGGGTTGGTGGTGGTGGTAATCTCTGCTTGATTTCTGGGCTAAAAGGTTAAGAGGCAGATAGCAGAATGGGAGTGATCCTAGCAACACTAAGAGAGGAGAAGTGGGGAAATGAATGGCTCCCGAAACAGCAGAAAAATATGCACGGCTGACCTTTCAGACAAACACACGGCTCTGATAGGACTAAAATGACTAAAGTCGTCTTAAAGGGAAATCCTGATGAAGGTCTGATGGTACCAGTTCACCTACATCTGATGTAGCCCCTGAAACTGTGTGAGATCAACTCAACTACAGCTCTGTAGATGGACTCCAAAGCCAACAACTAAAACACAGATGGGTGGGTCTTCCTCTGTGCCTCTCCAGTACAGCCCTGTTTTGTAGGAAAACTGAAATGCCACTGATATCCATCAACTTGGGCTACAAGTGGTCTAACAGCAAGACACAAGTCTGCACAGGACGCAAGTGCAATTCTGAGCAGTCTACCAGGCTATCAACCTGTTGAAACATAAGGAGATTGTTTGTTGCAAGGAACAAACAAGAAAACTGGACAACGTGAGTAGCTGTGATCAACAGGGCTGTAACCTGTGCTGACATGTGGAAGACTCCCCAAGCATGACTGAGCTTTCTCATCGTCTCAGAAACCTCCACCTTTGGTATGGCTCAGAGGAAACCTGCCGAATCTGTCACTGCACGGCAGCACTGACCCAGGGCCAGTACAGAAGGGATCACAACTGGCTCCTAGGAAAGCTAAAAGAGGTCTTGGTAGACTTCCACAAGCAAGAGGGTGAATCACAGACCAGCAGCCAGGAGGACTGGTCCCTCCTGTCACCTGGACACAGGTGGAACCTGAGAGCTGACCTCAACAGTCAGTTCAAATTGCCAAAGGAGATCACCACAACCTCTCTACAGCCAGATGTTATCATCTGGTCCACCTCTATTAGGACAGACATCCTAGCTAAGCTGACTGTCCCATAGGAACAGGGAATGGAGGCCTTTGAGAAGAAGAAGGAGGGCAATGAGATGATCCTCTGGAAGTCTGATGAAGAGGCTTCACTGGAACATCCATCACTTCCTGAAGTCTGTTGGAGTTACTGGCTCCAGGCTCAAGAAGGTGCTTAAGGGCCAGGCAGAGGAAGCAGAGCACTGGAGCTTCTGACTTTGGCTCAGGAGGAAGGACAAGACGTGGATCCTGGGGTCGGAGCAGGGAAATGTGCTGCTCCAGCACCTCGAGGTGTTCGGGGATTAAAGGAGCTAAACATCAGTGAAGGGTGGCTCATGGCTGATGACCTGATGAGCTGGACTGATGGTGACATTGGAGGTGCGTAAAGCAGCAGGTGGATGTACCTCCACTCCCATCATTTAATGTAATGCTGTTTATGTTGCCTTGAGTTATAAGGACAGATCTTGGTATAAGTTTTAACTTCTGTTCTCTCCTGCACACGTTTTTATTTACTTTACTTTAAATTCAAGTATATCTGAGTATATGTAGGTAAATTTGTTTTCACCTTGGGTGAGTCAGTACTTTCTTGAGAGACTTTTTCTTTTGTTTATGGTTTTAGCCTTTGGTTCACCCTGAAGTTGTTGCTTCTAATACTTCTTTTCCTGGTAATAATAAATTGCTTCACTTTATTCATAAGTCAGCGTTTCGACTTTGGTTTTGGGGACTGGGGCGGAAACATCCTTGTACTTCTATGTTCTTCTCTTATTTTCCAAGACTGGAGTGTAACACTGTATATACACTACAGGTCAAAAGTGATTTTTGCAATATGTACTTGAATGATCATTCAGAGAGAAGGTTAGAAGTTCATTCACATCACCTGTTGTGTCGTCAGCTTAGAGGTGTGCTTGCTGAGGGAAAGCCCAACCGTGTGGGGTAATACAGGAGACTTTCTTCTATGAAAAGCAGCTAAGGTTTGTCCAAGAAGTCACTAGATTTGTCATTAGGTGTCACATTGGTGATATTGATGGTCAAATCAATTTATCTATATATATATATATAGATATATATATATATATTTGTGCAGGTTTAAGAGAAGATGAGCCAGAGAAGAAGAGGAGGCTCACTGTTGATGATTGATGACATTTTACATTTACACTTTGACCTCCATCTGATTATTTACTCATTACATCACAGTCAACGTCTGCTCTCACTTAGAAACCACAGACTGGTGATGCAACAAACTTAACTTTGCTCCTTTTGGGTTGATCTCGTTATCTCTCACAGATGTTTCAACATACTGTAACATGTTCAGAGGTTTCTAATGTCTACACGATATGGATTATTTTTTTCTATTCAAATCGAAATCTTTCACTTGTGGTGTTCAAACATTTCTTTGAGTTGAACGCCTCAGAATCAGATGACTGTCTGGTTCTAGAGACAAATGTGTAGATATCAGTGGGACAGATGATAGATCTGATTACAATTTATGATGTTATGATGTAGTTGCTGTGTTGATTGTGTCAATAAACTGACCAACTCCCTCCTCATGTTGTTACTACCGTTACTACCAAGTCTTTATGAGCAGGGTGGGAACTGACAAAATGACCACAGCTCAAGATGACAATGGACAGTGAGTGAAAGCTGCTCACCTTTAGGGAGTCCACAAGGTCCTCAACCAGAAAGAGGCGGCTCATTTGCTTCAGGGCTCGGTTGATGTAGGTCAGACTGGCGTCCACGTGCTTGCGGAAAGTCTCTGGGGGGATGCTAACATCCTTATCTATGAGGGTTCTGCAGAGAGGAGGGGAAGGTGAGCACAAAATGAGGCTAAGTGTATGGGCTGAGAGTGCTGCAGGAAAACGTAGATGTAACCAGCCTGTACCATACAGCCACAACAGGGGGATTTCATTTAACATTTAACTCAAACTGATCATAACAATCTGAGGACAGTTTACAGGGGTGTTGACAAAGACCAGTGGCTCAATCATTTCTTGGCCAAGCCAAGAGATTTCTGGTTTTCAAAACTCACTTTCTGTGTCTCAGGACATCAGACATGATGTTTTGAAACTTGTGGCTTAAGATTTGTTTCAAAACAGAACTGAACAGATGTTCTACTTTACACCTACTGTAACTATCAGAAGGATTTATTTAGAGACTGCAGACTTTTATTAGAAACTGGCTGAAATAAGAGACAGGCTGTTATTCTGAATTCCCCATGTTGTAATAGTCCAGCTCATCATATTTTAGTAAAAGGCCTCCCTGTTTTCTGTCAGACTCACCACTCTGCTGAAAACAAACACTGTTTTCATTCACTAATTATTTCCAGTTGCCTCCACCATCAATGAAACTCAACTGTTCCTGCACAGATATTTCACATTAGAAGCTTTTCAGCAGCTCCAGGGACACAAGCTCTGTGATATGCTTTTACGAGTTGGTTTCAGTGACAGCAACATCAACTGAAAAACTGGCAATGTAGAAGCAGCTGTGATTCATTTAAGATTATCTCAGCACTGTCTTTTATTTGAGAATTCACTGCAAAGAGATGAAACTATTAAACAATCAATTGATGTTAAAGGTCCATCCAGTCTAAAGGTAGATGTCCATGTGTTGTTTGATTATAAAGCAGGTCTAGGTTCTATATTAATACTGTCAAAGTGCTCAGTGAAAATGCAAACAGCCTGTATTGAGAAACTGAGCCTTAAAACCAGCTGTCAGGACTTCTGGAACATTAGCCGTGTTTCGACCAAAAAGTACCAGGAACTTTAACTTTAAGTTGTTTGTGTTTCTGCCGTGCCCTAAAGTCCAAGGAAGATTATGCAAAATTATTACTTGACTCCTACACAGCACTTGAGGACATAACATAAACGAAAATACTATTTTCAAATACGTGACGATCCTGTATTATACGTGACACAGGAGAAGAGGAAAATATGGAGCTTTAAGGATCAATTATTTGTTGTTAGTAATGAAGCAAAAAGTCCAAACATTTGTTGGATTCAACATGTTTGCGTTTCATATTATTGTCAATGATCTTTGTATTGTGAACCTTTGGTTGAAGAAGCAGTTTGAGTACGTTACCTTGAGCTCTGGGAGTTTACTTTATGACATTTTAGAAACTTAAACACAATCAGATGGAATAATCGGGTCAATAGTTTTATTCCACTCTGTTTTACACTAACACATCATTTTTCATTTTGTCCTTTGTGAATCAGCTGGTTGAGAAGCTCAGACGAGCTGTCAGGGGGATTTAGTGTTGAGCCTCTGAGGAGGAGATATGTTCTGATCTATCAGGCCTTTAACTGGCTTCAGCAGAAAATAATAAAAGCAGAGGTCACATCAGGCGATGCCTGACAGCCAACATTCAGAGGCTTTCTGGTCTTTACAGCTGTGTGGAGTTTAACGTCTTATATGAGGCAGTGGTATAAAACTTGTGGCAGCAAAATGGCTCAGTGCACTGAAACCAGTTATACTCAAATCAATCTTTTATGCTCCTTATATTATTCCATACAGTGAATGCTTTGGTGTGGAGAGCTGCAGGCTTTGCAGCAACATGTTCTAAGCATGTGTGTAGCCTGCAGCACTGAACAACCTTCCTATCATTACAAGTGTATCTGTTACTTGAACCTGAACTCATCTCAGTGTTTCACAATGTTAATTCATGTGTTTAAATACACAGTTTTCTTCATGTTGTTGCATTATCAACATCACCAGCAATTTCCGCTAATGGCAAAACAAGAGGCAGTAAATAGTAGAGATGTACCAATAGGGGCGGCCAATCTGACAACAAGATCATATGACCATCTTTTTTTATGTAGAATCGCAATCGAATACTCTTAATCATGATCTGCATCCTGTTTCCTGTTTCCTGTTTCCACGCTGATTTTATTGTGAAAGTCCTGACTGTAAGTTGTGATTTGTATCTTTCTGCTGCTTCTTTCAGATGTTCGGATTGTGTCCTCTGTGTCACACCCAATCACACTTGCTTAGTTCATGTGGAGTATTCATTTGGACAGCGCTGTTAATTCTCTATGGAGGTGATATATATATATATATATATATATCTAAGCGTTTTGATTTGAAAATTCAGTCACTTGGACAACCATCTTGGACTGCAGCTGGTGATGGTGGTTCTTGTTCTGCTCGGGTGAAGAACTGGTTCATGTGGAGCTACACCAAACTCACTGAGGCTGCAGAGCAGAACACAGACTGCTGTCTCCAGCTGCAGTTAGCATGCTAGCTTAAGTTAACATTTGTGGTTGTGTGGTGTGGGTCGCAGAGACTGAGCTTTTAAATGTAAATATCTAAATACAGATGCTTCTATGGATGCAGGATGCATTTTATTATCTAATTTGACTGCCACTCATTAAAAAAATTAATCTAGGAACGAATAACACTTGCTACACTAGTAACATCCTGCCAAATTAAGGCCATAAAACACTTTACACGTTACTTTTTTACTGGTGGGACTTTCCAGAATGTATTGCCAAATTGGTGAAGAGGAGTTGATCTCCAGGATAACTGCCATTTTATCCAGGTGTGAAACTACAAAGTTTATTCATAAATGACGTGGTATCAGAACGGTGCACAGACTTGTGTACTAGCCGATACCCGATCCAGTATTTTAGGCAGTATCCTAATCATTTCTGGTTCTAGCATTGGTATCAGAACAACTTTACTAAATATGGACCAACAGATATCAACACATGACAGTCCTGATTCCTTAAATTTGGGGAGAAACAGAATACGCTGAGAATCCTCTGCTTGAGGGAATATAAACATTCAGACAGACACTGAAGTATTTTACTGGAATTATGAAACCCAGGTTGATCAAACCTCCCAAATAACCCGCCAGAAAAGGTCAAATCCACATAACAGTGGTACTGAGTGGTATCTCTGTGGTCTTACTTGAAGGGGTGTCCCTCGGTAGACTTTTGCACGGCCTGGACCACAGACTTGTAGATGCGGAAGGTGATGGTGACACAGAGCAGGGCCAGCAGCAGGTAGGAGACCACGCTGATGACGCTGAAGGCCGCAAGCGACAGCAGCAGGAGCATGGACAGACCGAACACCAAGCCCGACTTCTTGGGGTCTCGCCAGTGGATCAGATCCTTGACTGCAGAGAGGTGGAGGAAGGGAGGGGGGTTAGACTGATGGCGTTTTGCTCAAGATTGGCCTACAATGAAATATCATCATCACCTTCTATTTTATTCATTTTAAAAAAAAAAAGAAAAAAAAGAAAAAAAAAAAAAGGCAGAACAACAGCACGTCCAAGACTTTCCATGTGATGTCTTGTAAGGTGCTAAACCTGATCCAAATAAAGACTTGGTTCTCTCTACAGCTAAAAGAGAAATGAGTCATTTTCAAGGGTTTAATACACATTATTTGCAAGTGGTTGCTTTAACAGAAAAATATTGGTACTAGCCTTCAACACTTGAAAGAAGTCTGAGCTCAGCCTGGGGGAGAAACCCCCCCCTCCTCCTACTCTGCAGCTTTGGCCCAGTGAAACATGAACACACGCCATAAATCTCCTCTGGCGTCTCTCAGCCAAGAATAACAGAGAGGCACATAGCTGTAGATGCCCGTTTCATGTTTGCATGCATGTCCTGTAATAGCCTCTATACAAGGCGGTTATGTAATGCTGGGCTGCCACTTCTTCCCTCTGCATAGGAAAGGAGTTGGTATTTGAAAAAGCCTTGTGTGAAAGTGGTGGAGGAGCCATGTGGGCTGATGTCTCCGGGACGTTTCAGGCCTCAGTGCTTCAGCTGGTTTAATGGGAACACACGTTATATAGGACCCCCTACTTAGTGTGTTTAAATCCCAATCTTGGTCAAATGAGTCAGCTACAGGAGAGCTGCTAGCATCCTCTCCTACTGTCATCACACTGTGTATGTTTAAATTTGTCCTGGCTTTCAGACACTTGGGGTCAACGTCTGTCTCTCTGGTTTTAGAGGGATTTCTAAAACTCTAAAACTTTTGTCAAACCGTCTCACTTCTACTCTGTGCCGTGTCTGTGGAGGGGGTACGGCTACGTCCGCACTACTATTCATTTGAAAACCCTGTTTTCAACCAACCCCAGAGTTTTCAAAGTAAAACGGGTTGGGCAGAGTTTCCAAAGCTCCGTTTTCAGGGCTTGAAACCTCTGGAGTCGTGTGGACAGCAGGAGGAAATGTAGGAAAAGAGAATTAAAAAAAAAAAAAAAAAACGTAGTAGTGTGGTCGTAGCCTAAGACACATACAAGGGGAAATACTGTTGTGTAAGCTCTACCTTTCCCACTGGTAGCACTGGTGCTACCAACTTTCTCAGTTGCACTGCTGTTGCCAAAGTTTCAAACTCAAACTGTGTTGACCCTGTAACAAGTTTAGAGTCTAAGTACACACACAGCGTAGCATTTGCCTTGTACCGCAAACATGGGCACTGCGTCACCCACTGTGGCTGAAAGTGGTACTTTTTCTTCTTCACTGGCTCAGTCGGTCTTTTCCTGCCTTCACCTGCGTCTATGGCTTGTCGGCTCTCCCTCTCCACCAGCCTGCTCCTCTCATCCAACTGACAAATCAGGTTCATTTCAGCGCTGTGATCACTACGCAAATATTTAATACCACTAGATGTCTGCAGTTGTACGTTTCCTTTATAATTTGAATGTTTATTTAGCAGTTAGTGTTTATTAATAAATAATAATTCCCATCATGCACAGAACTCAGCCTGTTTACAACAGCAGTGCAGACAGGGACTCGGAGCTCCATTGTTCCTGAACTGAACTCCAGTACAGCACAGTTTCAGCTTGTGAGCCGACGACATCCAGGAACAAGTGGATTTAAGAATAATCCTATAATTAATAGCTGATTTGAAAACATTAAACTGCTCCAGCTGGAAACAGTCGACTTCCTTAGAGATGTAATGTTTTCATCCGACAGCAACAATGAGCGGGGTTTCCTCAACCTGCACTGCAGGGGTGTGTGCGTCCTCCCAGCATGCCTTGCTGCTGGTACCCACAGGACGTGGTTGGAGCTTGAGCTCATTATCTCGGTCCCTGTCTCCATTTCTCCTGCCCTCGCTCTGCTCTGCTGAGATCCCAGTGGCTGCTGAGGTGCAGTGGCCTGTTTTCACTGTGTTGTGTGCAGCTCTTAAAGCTACACACACACACACACACACACACACACACACACACACACACACACACACACACACACACACACACACACACACACACACACACCACACACCAGGCGCAGTGGACCAACAATTCAGGCCTCGGAACTACACTACAACTAAAGAGATCAACTGTATGTCCACTTTGTCTCCCATCAATCTACAGATGTAATAATAATAATTATAATAATAATCCATAATGACAAAGTGAAAGGTTTACTAAAAGTAATCTCTCTAATCTAACTCTCTCCCTACAGTGAAGCATGGTGGTGGCAGCATCATGTTGTGAGGGGGCTTCTCAGTGGCAGGGGCAGGGAGACTGGTCAGAGGAAAACCTGATGCTGAGTCAGGTGACCTGAGAGTAGGGGTGATGGCTCACCTTTGGGCTCCACAATGACCTGAAGCACAGCCAAGACAACACTGGAGAGTCTTCAGGACCAGTCTTTGACTGTCCTTGAGTGTCCCAGCCAAAGTCCAGACTGAAACCCCAGCACTTCATTACATCTGGAACAAACATTCACATGGACTCAAGGATGAACTGATTAGAATTTGGTGACCAAAGGTCAAGGTCACTGTGACCTCACCAAACATGTTTTTGGCCTCGTTATCCCATTCTTCGTGCAGGATTTTTTTTTTATTATACTATTCCACAGAGCAATATTTCGCAAAATTGAAATAGTAACACTTTCTTGCATTCATGTCGTGACGCCTGTCACATCAGGCCCCACGAAGCCAGTTCCAACCAAGAGGCACATGCTGGACATCTGTCGTCCCAGCTTTATTCACATAACATCACTGAGTGTAAACACAGAACATTCACAACTGTGTTTTGTCACAAAAAAACAAACTAACAACAACAACAACAAAAAAAATTGCATCTATTTTGCACAAATCTGCGATGGAAACCCGGCTACTGTCAGTCACTGTTCCACTTGTCCAGTAAAGTGAAGCTGATGAAAGCAGGTGCTAATAAGTTGATTGACACAAATCTAATCTACAGCTATTTTGATAATTGAATAACCGTTTAATTCATTTGCTGCTTTTCTCGCCTTCACATTATTGTTCATTTGAAAATATCTGGTCAGACAAAACCAGACAATTTAAGACCATCACCTTGGAACTTTTGTTGATTATTTTTCACAATTTTCCAAATTAGTTAATAGATTGAAAAACAATCAGCAGATGAATGCACGTTGAAAATAATTCAGGTTTAGTTTAGTAAACTGAGGCTTGTGTGATTACAGCTGGATAGGGCTCAACTATGAACCAGGAAGGCGATGAATCCAGAGTTTATGAGCAAAGTTGATGTGTAGCAGTGAGACATAATGAGCTATGTCACTACTAACTGTTCCACTGGAGTAATTAGCTGTAAGATTATTTTAAGTAACAAGCCCGTTCAAACTTCGCTCTAATTTTCATTTGACCCCGTTACAGATCCTGACACAAGTCACTGCTTCTGACTAAAAACAAGATACCGCCTCACCAAGCAAGACATTACAGGTCCATGTTAGACGCTTTCAAACACTGACACAGGTTCAGTTTGAATCAAGTATTCACATGTGCCTTTCCTCCATTTTACCAATCTTCACACAGAGGATTAACACAGATCTGAATACAAATGGATGCTTGAGTTCAACTAATCTTTGAAGCCCTGACAACAGGTCTGGTATTAGTAAGCCCACGAAGAGAAGCAGAGAACCACTTTTGGCTGCCACCATGTGGATTCACTGAAAGATGGCTGTGATGGATTTTTTTTTTTTAAAAAGAGGATTCTTTGATCAAAAACTGGTAAGGCAATTAAGTAAATGTCAAGCATATCCAACATGACAAGCGGCACACCCACTGTAACGAACTCACCTTGCCAAGTGTACCCCGCCTTATAACCTACTGAGTTGTGGAGCAGCACTGCAGAGAAGCACTAAAATAGCACAAGTTCATGGCTGGAGGGGGTGGACTCAACAACACATGCTCCTCTATAGAACACGATACAAAACAGAGCTTTGACACCAACTCATTACTATCCTCATTTGGAAAAGATTACATTACGTGCACTGCTAACAAGCTTCACAGAACAATGAACATTAGAATGACACTAAACTGCCTGATACCTCATGACATTTTCCTTTCCTTTAGTTTCTGATTGCTGGAGCACCAGTGCTCTGTTCTATGGTTGCCAGCTCCAGGTTAAAGTATTCGGCACATGTAGACGCACCACTGAATGTGTTAGGATTACTGTCTGCATACCAGCCTCTGTGCCTGTGTGTGGAATGGAGATCATGTTTGTGGAAAAGGGAGGGTGCTGCAGAACTGGCTGCTTTAACTCCTCTAATAAAACACATTCCAGTGCCTTGGCTTTGCTCTGGTTAACTTTTAATTAAGAGTATACACAATAATTATAACAGTAAGCTGTGATGCCTGGTTTAAAGCAGCTCTCGTATGTATAGTTTTGAGTGTTAAGCTGGGCCTGGATGAAGAGAGGAGGATTAGACAAGTGAGGACTGACAGTAAAGTCATTTCCCAAGATGACATCTTGCCTGAAACCTGAGTATGCATTACAACAGCAAAATCATTTTCACTTAGGTGGTCTTTAGATTAAAAAGTAATTTTGCATCACTTTGTTCTTTGTACCATGCCTTGTCATCATGCCTTGGTTTTCACCAAGGGTACTGTGGAAAGTTGCATAGGCAGAAACCCGACACTGGGGATTGACTGCACCGCGTGACTATCAAGGTTCTTGCAAGCCAACACTTGGCCACCATATTTAAACCCCCATGGACCACTGCCGAGCTGTAAAGGACAGAGGGCAGGAGAGGGTCACAAGTTCAAATGGAGTCAGGATCATTAGACCATATGCAGCTTTAATGTCCATATACCACATTATACTCTGCTTTGGCTGATATAATCTCTGACAATGCATTCTCTAGCCTTAGCTTAGCTGGCTTTATTTTTAGTATGCTGTCCAATAAGCCTCTATGACTTTCAAGGGAAAGATTTATGGGTATTGCAGTTCCTTAGATGCATATATAGAGACATTTTTGACATGGTATTCTCAAATACGTAACTAGGGCTAGGAAAAATCATACCCAATGATATCATTATAATCTTGACTTAAGCATTATGACTCCCTGGACTTTGAGAAAGGTATTTCCCCAGGGGAGCCGTCTCTGGTATTCCTTATTGCATCAGGCATTTACACATTCTGACACAAGAACACCTGCTCCAATTACCTAACTGCATTTTGGCATTTGAGACTGCACATGTGCTGTCATGCTGTAATAATTTGCACCAGCAGCTATGGGCTGTGTCACTGCACGTAACATAATGATGAAACATGCTCATAATAAACTGAATCATCAAAATAACTGAATTCTCCCACACAATTTTGTTAAACTCTATGTTGTTTGGCTTAAAAAAACATGAGATAAGCTTTTTATCTTGAAGCACATTGAGTCTATGTCTGTTGTATGAAATGTGCTTTACAAATAAACCTGACTATTTTCCTGTGGTGACTAAACATTGTGCCACCCATCCAAGAAGTTTCTAACCTGAACATTCCATTTTGCCTTGATAATGTGGCACCTGGCCAGGTGCACCAGCAAAGACAATTAGCAGATTACACAGGTGAGGAACAGGATTGAGCAATTGGACAAACCCACTAGTAATCAGTTTGGAATTCATTCAACACACAATTATACACTAGCAACTATTCAGGAGAAATAGGCTGGATGTAACCTCTCCCGTGTGCTTTATTTTTTTTCTTTATACAACTACTTAATTCGATTTTCATGTGCACCAACTATATGCCTTTGAAGGAACAATGTATGAAAGTGTAAATCATTATCCCCATTTGTACAACTCATCCTACAAAAACAAGCAAAGACACAGTTCTTGGAGAGACAATGGAGGTAGTGTGATGCCTTTAAGAACAAGTCATTTACTACAATGTAGACCCATTCCACCTGGGTCATCTGAAGCACACTAAGGCCTTTATATGCTCTCCTAGTGCAAGTCCTTGCTAAGAAGTGATAAGAAGTGGCAACTATGATCAAAGGAGAGTCTACACTTCATAGGCCAAAAGTAGGAGATGGCTGAAGAACATTTTGAGAAAGGATCAGGCAGTTACAAGGTGCAAGTGAGAGAAGGGTTCCTGTTGAGGTGACTGCATGAGCTTAGAAGGCCTACTGCCCTGCAGGAAGGGGTGTTACCTGATAAGTGGGTTAGTATTGCTGTCAAGACATGCTCAGCAAGATGATAGGCTTCAGCTACCCATTCGTCGATGGCTTCCACTTCTTTGGAATACGTGCTGTCGAATACATGGTCACTTTGGGAACATGGAGGGTTAGGAACTGAGGTAAAGGAGGACTGCTGTGTAGATGTAGCATTGGGGTTAGCTTTCTCCTGGTCAGGAACCACAGGCTGGAGAGACACCATATCCTCCTCTTCTTCCTCTTGACTGCTGCCCAGCTCTTTAAGAGCACTTATGGTAAGTTGTTCTTGTTCGAGATCCATCACCATGGTTGGAGGGGACTGGGAGGGAGGCCAACTAGTTTTGGAGAATTCAGTCTCGGAGGGAACATTTTGGTGAACATTGTCAGGTTCTTCATCCTGCCTAGATTTTAGGCACTCTCTCATGAACTCCACAAAGCTATCTGTGGGCTCTGAATCTGACCTGTCAGGGTCAATGCTTTCTGGGTTCCTTGTTGCATCAGGTGCTTGGTGACCTGCTTCAGTGTCCTGCACGATCTTTGAGCCAATTGTCTGTGCTGGGACGGAGTTTCCATTTGCCATGTTATCTGAACTGATGTCAGTGGTCATTTTCTTATTGAGATCTTGTTCATTGATGCTGCTCAGTCTTTCACCATCATTCGGTGAAGTGTATTCATCTAGATTTTGAATGTCCTCTGGAACATCATTTTGTGCAGTGCTTGTATTCAGTGTTTCAATGTTGATATCAGATGGATCAGAAAGAAACCGCTCCTTAGCATTGTTTCGCACTTTGTCATCAATGTCATCCAGGGATGAGGATGCATCATAATCATAATCAAATGATTGTCTGTCATATATATCGTCTTGCATGAAGCTGGATTTAGAAAAGGAAGGTGTCTCCGTACAAGTCTCTTTTACAGCTGAAATGCTCTTTTCATCCATTTTAGATTGGGCGAAAGGAACTGGTTCCTTGGACAAAAGATCAGTCCTGCAAGGTTTGACCTCAACATCTTGTGCTTCATCTGACCATTCGTCCTCATTGTCTGGAAAGTCCACTTCTTCATTTGTGAATGGGGAGGGTTCATCATTTACCTTATTCGACTGTGCTTGGGAAAAGTCGGATGCTGAGTCCTTTGAAATATCGGGACTGGGTAAGGCTTCAGGCTGGGATGTAGATTCCTGGTGGACTGTTTCTGGAAGAGATTTTAGTATCTTGTGTTTGGGAGAGTATTCAACATCAGAGTCCACCGGGGAGGATGGAGGAGAGTAGCCTTCCATGAATTCAGTTTCTAAGGGGCGTGTCTTGGGTGCTTCATTTTTACTGTCCTCTGGCTCCGGAGTTTTTGTAGCCTCTCTGGCTGTGTCTTTTACACCCCCATAATCCTCATCTTCCTCTGCTTCAAGCTCCATTTCCATCTCCTCATCACTGTAATTTGGCTCATCTGTCTCAATAACATTGATTGTTGGAACCTGCATTAGCTTCCTCTCAGACTTTGGTGGAGGGGTTTCCTTTTCCTCAGTGGGAAGTTCAGGAGCTGCAGAGGCAGGGGTAGTCGTAGGTTCATTTGAAAACGATGGATCAGAAGATGGAAGGGGAACAGAAGCAGGAACAGTGACACCCTCTTCAATGACAGTATCGTCTGACTCTCCTGAGCTGTCTGCTTCACTAACCTCTGGGGGCTCCAGATCTCGAGTCCAAGTGGTCTTCTTGTCATCTGAAACATTCTGTTTAGCGTTTGTGTCAACTGGTGGGGAAACAGGAGGAGATGAAGAGTCAAAGCCTGCAGGAGTTGCAGATGAAGCTGGAAGCTCTGAATCAAGACTAGCTTGAGTTTGGACACCTGATTTTTCCTGCTGATCCCACATGTAGGCTGTTGGCAAAAAACTAAGATCGAACTCAGACTCCTCCTCAACACTTGGCTGCTTCTGTGCATCACTGAACTCATCCTTCTGCTCTGAAGTTTGAATAGGAGAATCCATGAAAGCATCAGGGACACCAGCAAAGGCAGCGGGAGCATCAGGTATAACTATTTCAGTCCCCTTCTCCTCCTTTGATGCAAGATTGTCTGAAGTCAGGGTGCCTTTAATTAAATCTGCAGCATCAAAGTCTGGCACTGGAGGTAAATGAGCCTTCATCCACTCTTCTGTTTCTTCAAATTCATTCACTTGTCTTAAATCTCCAAGAACCTCAAAGGGGGATTCCGGTGACTCCTGATCAGCAGAACCCCCTTTTTTCTCTACAGTTGGCACAATTTTTACAGGAGATTTTTGGGTCTCGGTAGGAGATTTTTGGGTCTCAGTGGGAGATTTTTGGGACTCGGTGGGAGATGTGGGAGATTTTTGGGACTCAGTAGAAGATTTTTGGGACTCAGTGGGAGATTTTTGGGACTCAGTGGGAGATTTTTGGGACTCAGTAGAAGATTTTTCATAGTGGCGATCTCTGAAGTGAGAGAAACCTCCGTCGCTTCTAAAATCAGGTTCCTTCTTTTTGGCAGCAAGGGCCTCCAGTGCCTTTATTCTCTCTGAAACAGGAGATGTCTTTATTGGTGAATCTGGTTGTCCATCTGGTGGCCCTGCTTCACTCCCATAATGACCAGGTGTGAATGAACCAGGTTGTGAAGGAAAGCGAAGGGATGTCGCTACACCTTCGCTTGAGGGCTTCTCGGAGCCCAGGACGACTCTTTTGTCTGCATCACCATGCATGAAGAACGACAGCGAAGAGGAAAAAGGAGGGGAGGTCATATAAATTACACACTAAACTCCCATGCACTTCTATTATTCAGCGAGGCCTTAATGTAGCAGCCCAAGCATTCATGCATTGCATCATGGAAATGTAAGGCAGATTCATAATGGATGGGATCTTCACTTTTTGCATGCTACTCTTAACTACTCCACAAAGTTGCCATCAAGCAGCACTCAGTATGGCAACTTAAATTATTGGAATGATCAGATGAGGCAGCAAAAGAAATAAAATCTAACTCACAGATAGTTCCTGTAAATCACCATGTGTGGCTATGGTGACTGCACATAAGCTGCAGTCTGTATAGCAAGTGTATAGTGGGGTCCAAAAGTCTACACTTGCAAACTTGAAAGCAGTTTCTTTTTGATAGTGATTATTTGATTTGATTATTTAATCAATAAAATTCTTCAGTCACTATTACATTTGAAAAGGTTCTGATTTGGCAGCTATTCTCTGTACACAGCTAAACTAAAATTGGTGATAGTGTCAGTTTAGACATACAACCATTCTCCTCTTAGTTTCATGTGATCTCAGCGTTGACCTGAGCCTCAAGTAATTTTGGTCATGTATGTAAAGGTGTATTAAGGCCTTCATTTTCCATTTTCTTGGAAACTGATTATTGATCTTACTATTATTTGTAAATCCATACAAAAATCCATAAAAGCCTATGTCAGTTTAACAGAAAACAAAACAAGTCTGAATAACTGACTTCATTACCATTTTCAGACAGCAGACCCAGGTCATATGTGGGTCAGCTCAGTGTTGTTACCCTGCTTCTCACTATCAGCAGACTCCAGTCTGCGGTATAATTCGAAACCACTCACCGATAAACCTTAGAATTACATAGAATAATTTACTGGTAAAATCTTAAGTTTCAGCCCTCTCTCCCGCTCGTTAAATGTAATTTAAATATCGGTATAATTTCATTAATTTTAATTCCTTTCACCAAAGCCAGCAGCATCCAACCTGTGTCTAACCCAGATTGAGAGGAGGGTCCTCAAGGATGGTTGGCTGACACAGGTAGACCCATACAGTGCCCTCATCTAAAAAGAAAGGTCAATAACATATCTCTTTTTTGTATTGTAGGAAATTTTATATTATAACTCATTTTAGATCATTCAGATGTGACGGTCATTACCATGTTCTTGTTCAGGATTTCCCTATATCCCCCATCTACTGCAGAGTCTCCAATCTGTCTCTGACTTTTGAACCCCACTGTATCCCTTACAAATCAATGTCTGTAAAGCTAGAAAGACAATTTCCTGAGCTTCACCTTCAGAACCCCAATACAGTGGGGTCCAAATGGAGAAGTGGTCTCACACTTTTGGACCCCACTGTATATGGAATGAGTGCCATCTTGACAAAACCATATCAACTCTTATAAAACATCCTTGCAGGACAGACTGAGCAGACTGTGCTCTTCAACACAAAGTGGCAGCATGATAAACTGTCACCAGCTCTCCAACACAACAGATATAGACTACAATTCTGCTACACAACTTGTAGTGAGGGGCTGTTTCGTTGTGTACATATCACTATAAAAATTTTAAATGCAGACCTGGATACAAACACATCTAATGCAGTTTTTACTGCCTATACATTGAAAAGCTGAACCAACAGGAAATGGTTGAGCCCAATGATTGGAGTAGCCAGTAAACTTGTCAGACAAAAGCTGCCAATCACAATGATGTGATAATATTTCAGAAGTTCTAGTTATGCACATTTTTTGAATTTCAAAACACAACATAAAATAAAATGACGAGTCTCAAAAACTTCCACTGTTCTCCACAACTCAAGAGCTGCATTCATTGTAGTGGTTAGTTACTTGCTACATAATTAGTGTTTGTTAATAGCCATTATAACACCAAATTATATAATGTTCTGACACCAGAGTTAGATAATACTGCTGTCCCCCTGCAGTTTATTAGGTCATTTCAGTACCATGATTTCCTCAGCCTCACAGGTGATGCGACATTAACAGTCACTATTATGATGACAGGACCCCCACCTCTCCCAGGGAACGTGGCCCCTGGCCATTCTCGAGACCACAGAGTTCCAAAGATGTTCTAAGCAACTGTTCCAACAATCACATGATCCCTGTCAGGAACAGTGATCTCCGATGTCATTTTCAACACCTGACATGCACGTTCAACAACCTCCACCTAACAGTGACGGTGAATCAACTTTAACTCAGCACCACTCAAAAAGGTTTTTAGAGATTGAATAATTTTGTCTAGATAATGAAAGGTCTGGATTTTCATCCTTCAAGTTGTCAGCATGATCCTATGATCCCCACCCCTTTCCCGCCCCCGTGTAGACACAGACTTTTCCACTGACTGGTCCGCTTTATTTTGGATATCGCTGCCTCCTCCCCTGCACCACAATACAATGCCTTGTTCAAACTAGGCCACATGAATGGACTTTCCATCTCGTCAACAGTGTTGTAGTCTTTTGGCTGTGTACTTGTAAACAAATTCCAGAATGACTAGTGCTCTGAGAGTACATCTAGGGATCCAGCCAGGGATACTTGATAAGGACCTAGACTACTTCCAGTGGGACTATAATTCAGTTTATTTAGTAACAGGCCACTAGTCATGTACCATCTGCCAATTTCAGCCTATGTGGCATTCAAAATCAGATTTATATAACTGGAGCTGTGTGATTATGTATGTGGCCTGGGTATCAAAAACATTTGGAACAGCATCCGTGGCAAAATAATCTCAACTCAAGGTCCACGTACTGGATTCTTTCGGAGCTTTCTGTAAGGGGGAGGTCCCAAACCCTTTCTCCGTTCAAACAAGCGTTAGATATGACGTTCCGCAACGAGATGATGAAGTTGTGGTTTAAAACTCAGAACAACCCAGTAAGTAGACAAGTTGAGATTCACCATGGAACTATAGTTTAGTTTGGTACGGTCTTCTTCACAAAAATGAATACAACAGTAATCCAAATAACTAAATCTAATCAATTAAGGGATTTTAAATTGTCATCTGAAGGATAGATTTATTGATAAAACATAACACATAAACCAAGTCATATATTTTTGCTGAGAAGCAGATGAGCCAGTAAGAGTCCAAAGTCCACAGCGTGCAGTCATGTGGTGAATAGGTTGGATGCTTGTGACCTCGGTGTGTAATGGTAATGTGTGACTTTGTGGCTCATGTTATCATCTACCATGATCTATCCTAATATATGACTATTTAACAAACTCTACTTTCACAGTATTGTCTACCATGTGTTCACATACATACAGACTTCTAACAATGATAAAACCACAGCTCAAAAAGAATCTGAAAATGAAGAAGCAAAACTGATCAAAGAAAACCTACTTTTTTAAAGCTTAAGCGGGGATGTGAGACATGCACAAAGCCTACAGAGCTAGAAGCAGATAGTGGGTGAGTGAGCAGCCAAAGGAAATGGCAGGCCCAGACCACTGGGCGGTGGAAGGCATCTCCAGTGCCACTCATCCTCTGGGACCAGGAGGCTACAGGGGCTGAGAACGGGGGGGTGCTTGGATACTAGGGCAGCAGAAAGGTAGGACCACCCCCACGGGACACCAACCTGATCCATTTTTAGGTTTCTGCTCTTGTGTGCACAATGTGAACTTGAACTTCTCTGCTTTCTTAAAATAAAGTGGCAATCTTGGGATTATCTTGAACCTATAGTGAGTGCTGCTGACCTAAATAATGCCTGTTAGCAGGCAGTACAGGCTGAAATGAATCTGGCTGCTAACAGCTGCAGAGGCACAGTTTTACAGGTCTACAGATTTTAGAGATCAGCAACATCAAGCAGCAGTGACTGGTTTTTATTTGTGCAACTGACTGCTGCAGATTTCCAAATGTCTCAAGTCTGTAAATATCTGTATAAGCTTCTGCTACTCATATTATGACTATGCATAGATACGTGTCCTGCTGCCCTGACAATAAACTAAGGTTGGCTATTTACAGCATGAACTAGAAAGGTTTAATCTCAAGTTGCAGCAGGGGTGGGGGTGGAGAAGAAAATCACCAATGCCATATGTCATTGAAAACAGAAGGAGGAGTTGTGCTGCCCTGCTAACTTACAATTAGTCCGGCGTCTGAGGGCCAGCAGCGTTGGAAACAGATGGGAAACATGACGAGGTCTGTAAGAGGAGGGGTGGGTAAAGAGCGGGCGAGCTAGGAAAGGAACCGGAGCTAGGACTGAAGTTCATTATGTTGCCAGGTTTCTTTGCAGCTTCGTACTATTTTTATTGGGCTGCTGCGAGCAGGAGAGGGGCACTAGAAAGAGGGATGAAGTAGAGCAGTGCAAGTAGAGAAGTAGCAGCAGGCCAGCGTGAGAGTACAGGACAGAGGGAGTGCAGGCGAGCAGCGTAAGAGAACCATACACTTGCCTTGAGGAGACTGAATGAGAGATACAGGCGAAGAGGAAAGAAAGGAATCTGAAAAAATAAAAAGGACAGAAGAATGATCATCGTAGAAGAAGAAAAGAAGTCCTACCCACTGCACCCATTCAAACAAAGGCATTCAAATCAGACTTTAACTTATCCGGCCTTAACAACTCTACATGCTGCACAAAAACTACTTCAAATAAAGACCAGAACATACTTCAGTTAACAGAGACGCCCCATGCATAGCCTCTCATTGTTTACATCAGTAAACATACAATAACTTTAACACATGCACTTACATTTGCTATGCAGGCAAAACCAAGACAGTTTTAAGAAGCAGACAAAGGTATTTCTCACTTTGTTGCTATAAGCAAATTAAAGAGCTTCCAACAGATTAACTACAATCTAGTCCACCGTTTATTCTTTAGTAGCGTTTACACTAGAAACGAGCAGAACGCAAACATTTAATGTAATCTGTATGGCCAGAAATATGTGGACAAACTTGTCCGACACACCCGTCCACATACTGCTCTGGGGCTGTTTTTTCATGGTTTGGGCTAGGCCTCCACCTGAGGGAAATCTTAATGCTACAACAAACAATGTAAGTTTAGACAACAGTGTTTTTCTAACAGTTTGTGTGTGTGTCCCTTTCCTGTTTCAACATGACAAGACCCTGTGCACAAATCCAGCTACACAAAGAAATGGTTTCCCAGTTTGGTGTGGGAGAACTCGACAGAACCATGACCTCAACCCGACTCCACACCTTTGGGATGAACTGGAATATGGACTGTGATCCAGATCAGCCAACATCAGCGATGGAGGTCACTGATGCTCTTGTGGCTGAATGGGAGCAAGCAGGTTCAAGTATCTGGTGAAAAGCCTGTGTATTAAAAGGTCCATCCAGTCTAAAAGGTAGATGTCCATGTGTAGTGTGATTATAGATCAGGTCTAGATTCTATATTAATACTGTGAAAGTATCAAAGCCTCAGTCCACAGAGAAATGCACACAGCCTGTATTCAGAAACTGAGCCTTAAAACCAGCCGTCAGGACTTCTGGAACTTTGTCACAAAAAAAACAAACAAAAAAACAAATACCACTCTTAGCCATTTCCCAAGCCCCGCCCACCTAGACCCAACATCCAACCTTGCAGGATTAGTTTTTTCTGAAATCTGTTAGATTTTTTTTTGGATCAATCAGAAAACAGTCAGCCAATCAGAAGAGAGGCTCAGAGCCTCCTCTCTTCTGATTGGCTCACTGACCTGTTGTTACCAGAGCTCCAGAGAGAAGCCTGAGAGAGGAGATGTTAAACTACACTGAGATGGTTTTTGGTTCTTAAAACCACAAATATATCTTCTTATGGATCAACACTTCAAAGAAAACTCAGAAAAAGTGTAAAATATGGAGCTTTGAATGGCCGTACTTCCCACACAGTTGTCTCCACAAACTGCGGCCTCCAAAATGATTAGTCAAATCAACACCTCTCTAAAACAACTTCAGCAAAAACTGATCATTATAACTTATTTTTTTATTGCAGGAACGTTGTATTAGACTGCAGAACAATAGCTTAAGATAGCTACCTGACAACTGAGTATATATTTATTTAAACTCATAAAAAAATTAAAGCTCGGACTGTGCACTTTAATATAGTATGGATTATTGTATTTCAAATTGAATGTGCTGAAGTGATGAAAGCGTAACCGTCCAAATACTTATGGTCTGGACTTCTGGCCAAGTTGTATAACTGTACAACAATGTTTATTTCCTCTTTGGAGACATTATAGCCTCCATCTTGGTAAAGAGGTTGTTGTTAGGAGTTCACACCTCATTCTCCATGTTCATCATGAAATGGGAGACACGTTGAGTCATGGGTTCGGCTGCATTCACAGATATTCACTCTGCCTTCCTTGTTCATTTGAACTGTGCAGACGCAGCAGGGGGTTGAGGGGGCAGTTGCCCATAACGAGTTAAATCTGGTTTAACTTTTGCTGCGATGCAACGTGACGTCATCTAGCATGTATGTGATTGGCTGCATTCACATACATGCCAGCCTGTTCCTCCAACTGGATTTCCCAGATTGTATTTCTCTGTCTCACTGCTACATTAAACAACAACACACCCTCACCAGTGCAGGCCCGTGCATTGTTTTAATGCAGGATAATTTCAGTCTGAATTGCAGACTGAGGATGTGAGCGAGTTTCAGGTTTACTCAGGGAGGTGTGGCATCTCCCTTAATTCATCTCAACTGGGGTTTGTACAGGCTGAGCGGGTTGGCGTTGGTGTGCCCTGGTGGTGCAACATTCCTTCTCTCCTGTCACTCTGAACGCACCACACCTTCACTTTTTAACTATAATGGAAGTTGATGGAGGTAGAGTTATGTATGCTGCAAGAAGATGATAGACACTCAAAAAGCTACACTTAAATATGAAGTTAAAAATAAAAAATAAAAACATGCATGAACATCATTGTAAAAACACATGACATTAGATAATTCGAACAACGCAGGTTACAATCGGCATAATAAAGTATGGAAATACTAATTATGTGAACAGGTCTTTTCTGTAAAATGCATTCAGCTTTCTGTTAGAATCTGATGAAAAATTTGAGGAAATGATTTAAAAGACAACTGCACATGGTGTGAGCCATAGTGGTTTGAACACAGCAGAAAAGTACTGAACTGATTTGCACTGAACTTGGTGGAGGGAAGGACTCAGGTCAGGGAAGAACCCATTCAATATTGGGCAGTTCTGGATCATTTACCATGAATTTGAATCATCTCTAGTCTGGTATATGTCGTTTGACATTGGCCTTAGTGGAGGTCTGCGCTCTCTATGTGCCCTTCTATGTAGTTTAAAGCTGCAGTTGAAGTTATCGTGGGGAAAGGAGCAAGCTGAAAACACAACATCTAACCTGGTTAACACACACACACAAGATAAAGGTGTGTTAATTATTTCTGGTTTCTACCAACTCCTGAGAAAGATGTCTGGCTCTTCAGCTGCTCCACTTTCTTCACCAGCTAGCCTCTAAGTTGACCTGCTGTTTGCTGCTGGAAGGTGGTTGATGAAATCAGAATTTGTGAGCCATTAAAAACTATGTAATCAGCTGTCACCAGACACAACAACAATGCTAGATTTATTAACACATTGTTCCTCCTTTTTATTTCCCAGTAACCTGTTAAAGACACTATGTAGAGAAGTGGGAAGTCAAAGACCAGAGAAGGTTTAAAGTTCCTTTTTGTAGTGGAGTGTTAAATACCTGTGCTTCGATTGTCCACTGTTGTTCCAGCAATACTGTGGTACACGTCACACCTCTGATTCCTGAAGGCTGCCATGCTATCTAAAATCAAACAGCAATATCTCTCCCCTCTTTCTCCCCTTTTATACAGAGATCCCACTATATTACAGTTAAGACCTCTCATAATGCAGCCTCTGCTTGTTTACACTAAATCAAAACAAAGCTGGCATATTGCCAGAGCCTTGTGTGATTTTAGATAGCATGACGGCGCTCAGGAATCAGAGGCGTGATGTATAACACAGCAGCGTCTGTGTCTGCCCCACCACGACAGCTTTCCTGTTTACACAAACGTCAATCTGGCTCTGTGACTTTACATTTATACTTTTTATAAAGAACAGCAAGGTGGAATAAAGGCGCAACACTTCCGCCTTGAACGGGCTGTTTAAAATAGGCTGGTCTACATTCCAGATCTTCAGCTCTTCTTGTTAAATCCGTCACTGGTGGACATCAGCTGAGGTCACCTTTGCTACTTTGGCCTTAGGCCTCTCAGGCTTGTGTGTTTGTGGAAGTGATGGTGCAGGGGTTGGGTTGACCACCACGCCTGCCATTCCTGCTTTGGAGCTCCAGCTATCCTGTACTGTCCACCCCTGAGGGCTATCTGATTGCCTCTGTGACCTCAGTGATATGGTCTGCTCCAGCAGGGAGTGGAAGGAGTGAAGGGAGGGAGGGTATGGGTGGGTGGGTCTTCTTGGCAAGACAAGTGGAGAGAGGGGGAAGCTAAAGGAACTCTGTGTTCTTTGAAGCTTTGCTTGTATGTTTCACTTTCACTGGCTTCAGACTGAACACCTATCCTGACCAAGTAAATCAAGATGCTTTTGACTTAAGCATGTTGACTCATCAAAATGATAGAATATGTAAATCAGCACCAAAGAAGAAAAAAATAACACAAGTCTCTTGTTTTCTTCAGTGAACACTCTGAAAGTGAACAGATCAAATGGAAGTTCGGGTCCAACACCTCCAGTAAGATAAAGGTTAGTCTGCTCATATATGAACATTCCTATGAGGAAATATGAGCCAAGAGACAGCTGTGACATCGGTTATCAAACACAGAGCTCAGGATTAATGTTAAGTGTTGGAGTGCTGCAGGTCTGATCTGTGTTTTTCAGTTTAAAGCACTCAAGTAAAAAGAAAACAAACACTTTAAAGTGTTTCTGATTGTGAGATTACCCATGATGCAGCGACACGGAAACCGAGTCCATGGCTAACTTCCCCTGAAAATCTGATGCAATGTAGTTTGAGAAATTAGGTCCTTGTCCTGAAGTGTGCCACTTCCTTTGTGACTAGTGTCACTCATCAGCGTGCAAGTCAAGTGAAATTGGCTCATCTACAGAAACAAGCTGCAGAGACTGAGCAGGCTGTCGTCTATCTGTGACATCCACAGACTGAAAGATAAACCTGCTGTACATTATTTCTGTTGTGCTTTACTAATAGAATTAGTGCTGTGAAAATTTTCATTATGTTGAATTTATCAAGACAAAAGCTGTCTGTCTAAACACAGTCAAAAACCTGTTGACAGATTAATCCATAGTAAATAAAGCTGAAAACCCATTTCCTAATAATATTTTTTTTTTAAATCACCATTTGTTTTGTGTGAAATTGTGTCCTTACACTAAAATGCATATATTTCTTGTTCATAAAAGTTGAAAAAAGTGATATCAATTGTCCTTTTTATCTGCAAACTTCATCTCACCATGTGATGTTGCGGTTCAGTGGGGCTCATAGCGTGACTCAGCTTTACTGTAATGACTAATGTTTGTGGAAGCCAATGTTTTATCCTACAAAGAATGTTTAAAAAAAGACATTATCATTCTGAGTTTGGTCAGAGCTAGTTGAAAACTATTCACAGCCATGTTATATGGTGTCTGCTGCACAGTTCTGATGGAAACTCAAAGTCAGACCTGTGTATTTTATACCACAGCCCTACATTTTTCAAACAGGGAGTTCTGCATCAAATATTACTACGCACCAAAACTTCCAAACTTGGTCATGGCTGCTAATCTTCTGGGACCAACAGACTAGATTGATATTATATTAGATGATAATTTGGTCATTTCCATAAGTTTTTAATGAAATGGTACATGTCATAATTGTAAGCATGATCCTAAATGTCATATGTGAATTTGCATTAATAGTACATTTCTAGTAAATCATATTTAATTTGTGCTTCCCTCTCCTTATTGATTATACCTTCAGGGACAAACTGAAACTCTGTTGAAGCATAATGTGCCACACCCTGCCATATCCAGCTGACGCCCACAACCACATGTGCTTTAATTCTTCACAGCTACAATCCTTTTGATGAACCAAACATGGCTTTGAAGGATTTTCAAATGGCTCTCGTGTGGTGGCTGATTGAGCCATGGCGTTCAGATCAGAAAGATTAACCCTCACAGAGACAGAAAAACACAGATGCTCACTGGTGTCGAAGCTGCCACCCCCTGACACACAATAACCTGTCAATAAGGCCCTGGGAGACAACACTGGTCTTTTGTTATAATTAGGCTGTCTAGACTGTAATTAGAACAACTATCTAACAAAGACAACAAAAACCGTGATGAGTTATTAGACAGAAAGTATTGATGGTAGTGAAGCTCTTCAGGCTTGATGTTTTGTTCTGGGAAATGATTGCTATTATAAAGACGACAGAAAAAGTGCAATGCGCCTTTAAGAGGTCCTCCCTTCACTGGCAGTGGCCCAGTAACAATGCATCTGCAGTGCAGAGCATTGCAACATTTACCACCGATAACGCTTTGTCACCACAAACGTTACTGTAAAAACTCGTATAATATTTCTTTACTTATAAAATAAACACCATACTCACTACGAAGAGCATGACGTAAGACTACATCAGCAGTCATTATGACACATTTAAATTCTATCAACATCAAATGAAAAAAGCAGCACGTATTTGAAAAATTTTCCCCAAGCAGTGTCCATACAATATAATGAATAACGCCGTTCAGTAGCTAACAGTATCAGCCCAGTCGCTGCTTAGCTGATCATTTAGCCGGCCGATCCTGCTGATCAGTAATGTCGTACCTCATGCTCTATCACAGCGTCTACAGACAGTGCCTCCGCCTTTTAGCAAGGCGACATAGTTAAAGTTGACAGATTCATATAAGAGGTTAGGCTTGGCGTTATCGGCATAGAAGAAAGCAGCGGCGTGTGCTACGGGAAGGCCGTGGCTATTTAACGTTAGGTAGCCGGATATCTTGACTACCACAGGTGTTTCTCGTAATAGCTGAAACAAGCTTAAACAACCACACACAGTCCAACAACATACAAAATGAAAAAGGGTTTTCGGCATCACAATGGTTACAGTTCTATGGACATGACGATAACCTGTAAACATCAATATTATGCCTGTAAATAAAAAACGAAACAGATATGACTTAATATTTATTAATTATAAAACATTAAGTTAAAATTAACGTTTACACTTAGCTAGCTAACTTTACGTTATTTCTTACCGGATAGCTTTGATTCTTTGGCAGCAGAATTTTGCCCATCGGCAAACCCTTGTGACGATGATATCTGGGCGGACTGAGTCATTGGATCCATTTTACTGTAGTTTCGAAACAACTGCACACAGGCGGCGAAATGTCTGTCGTCTCGATTCAAATTCTTACACTGTCCCTTGAAGGTGTATATGTCGTCTGACTTTCCTCGAATTTCCCCAAGAGCGGGACTCGGATGCTCACCTTAACGCAACGTCCGAGCACTGAGGGAAAGGCAGAGATGGAGGGAAACAAGGCGGACTATGGAGGAGGGGAAAAACATGACGCGTTCAATGTCTCCATTTAAGCTCCAATATCTCAACTACAACCTCACCAACAGGACTTGCCTCTTCGTTCAAGTACAATAACATAAAACCACCGAATTACATATATCATATTATTATTTGAACATATCTTTCAGCAACTCCTGTATCAGTAAAATCAAATTGTAATGAACGGAATGTGTGATTTGGTTCTGACGTTTATGGTGCCGTAGAAATATTCGACAACACTTGAAGGCAGCAGGAGGAATATTCTTGAACACCAGACACCATGTTATATACCTGCTGTGAACAAAAGTGGGATTTTGTATTCCGGCCATTAGCTCTGATATGACTGGGAGGCTGCATTGTATGAAATTTGAGTAAATGTTACCAAAATATTCTTAGAAAATAGTTTAGTAATTATAGGTTGAATATATATCGGAAGTGTGTGTGAGCTGTTTGTAAAAAAGAAAAAAACAAGCCAACCACACTTATGAAATAGCTTTGAATAATGCAGCCATCACGGTTTTATACAACTCTAAACTGCGAGTTTTACTGTAGCCTGTTTTCCATTATGTAATGTTTACCTTTGTTCAATTTAAAGCACATAAAAGCATCATGCTGCCCTCTACTGGGGGTCTTTACGAATAATATATTATGAACTACATTTCCCAGCATACACGGGAAGAGCTTGTTCGCGCAGTAGCTTAGATCTATAACCATGGGCATGGGCCTCTCGGCGTTCAACAGCCAGTGACAGCGACCTACGTATCGCTGTGAGATCTGTTCTGCTACGCGAACGTAGACATCGGTAACACATTGGGACAGACTGAACTGCGCGGCAAAAGAAGGGGGACACAAACAAAAACATGTGGCTGAGGCTTTGAGAAAACAGGTACGTGATCTCTCGTAGACCGGTCAAATGTTGGGTTTGCGGGAGCTTAGAGTGAGCCAGCGTTGCGGAATATTGTGGGAATGCTAAGGGGACAGGCGTTATGTAAAAGTAGTGAGTTCAGCTAACTAGCAGCTCGTTAGCTTGTTAGCTGCTACTGACAACAGTCGTCATTCAGCCCGCTGCTCACAAGCTATTTGTCACAGTGTGGGCTGACTCTCTGGTTCAGCTTATTTCATTAATCTCTAGCTCTCCTGTTTACAAAACTTAGTATTCATTCAGCGAACTAACACCGATAGTAACCTTATACGGGTTGCTAACGTTAACTTAACTTAACTTTAAGAGGTTAGCTAGTTAGCTTGAGTCAGCCTACCCGGCTAGCGAGATAATATATCTAAGTGAGTATTTCGGTTTGTACTGAAAGACTCAGTATGTGTAATGCCGCAGAGGCATTGTGGCGCACTAACTGGAATGACGAACTTCAAAGAGCTTTGTTGCAGTTTTGTATTGAATGGACCCATGTAGCAGTGGGAGTGCCCCGCCCACCAGAGCGCCATATAGACCATGTTAGCGGCATTGATGTAACCAGCATTATGCAACGAGCCAAGCTGCTCATCCAAGGGTCAGCGTCTGGGTTTGTGTTTTATTTGTTTAACGTGCGGTAATTATAATTGAATAAAATGGGCGATATTATTATTGCCTAGATCATTAATGGGATTTTTTATTTATCCCGTTAGGTCCACACACAAGAGGACAGTGCACCAAGCTTTATACTGGGTTATATGACAAGAAACGTTACTGTGCTTTGAAAGGACACACTGGTGAAACTTGCATAAGCAAACGTGTATAATGCTGTTGTTTATTGCATCTGAGAATTTATTACTTTAAAGAATATACTGATATATAACACAAGTTTTGATAAACAAATATTGTATCTATGTAGTCTTTTTTCCTATGCAAAACTGAATAAATTAGTTTTTTTACACTCATTTTTTTATATTTTGTGCATTTCCTGCGTATTACACAGAAGAAAAATGCTAATGTGGTTAAATCTGGATTTTTTTTATTAGGGTGAAATCACAAATTTAGTTATTTATTTATTTTTACTGGTGAAAAAACAAGACATTGTGACCATAAAACATAATAGACAAAGTGTATATAAAATTACATTTTTGGGGTATGTGTGTGTGTACACATGATAAGATGTTTTAATGAGAGTTGATTGTATACAACAATAATAATAATAAATAGTGATAACAATGATGTTGATAATTCCAATGATAATGATATATAATAATTGTAATAATATGGTAATAGTGGCAATGTACATGTATATATACAGACAGTATAATAATAGTAATAATAATAATATATAATAATCATAATATAATACAATAATAATATGATAATATATGATAATGATAATCAGGATGATAATTATAATATTCATGTAGTAGGGGTGGGTGAGAGGCAGCACCAAAATGCCAGAGGGGCAGGCAAGGGGGCCCCAGCCCAACCACCAAACAACCTACAATAAATCACAAATTTAAATGGCAGGTATGATGATCTGTATTTACTCATGTGCTGTCTAAAACAACAGCGAATGTATCTCGCTAACAGTTATTATGTTTGTGTTCAAAGCATGTAATAGCCTGTAATTGTCCCAAAACTACTAAAACACATCAGTGAACCACACCGTTACCCTGGGAGACATGTTCCTTCCTCACAATGAACACTCAATGTAGTTTTTTCCCCACACACACTGTCCTGCTGCCAAAATACACAAATATAGATTAAATATGCCAGTGTAAATATTTCCCAATAAATACACTATTTCCTCCTATTTGAGTAACTTTCACTAAAAATTGCAGCTTACTCAAATAGTACCAGCTGTTTTAGGAGGTGGCTGAGACTTCTTTATAAATTAAATGATATATTTTTGAGGTATTTTTTTGAAGTCTACATCTTCAGAGAGCCACAGGCAGGGTGAGAAAGTCAGAAAGAATCGTAAAAATATTGAAGCATTGAAGCCTCCCTCATCATTAAGGACTTTTCAGAGCCCTCCTTTACTTGTTCTGCTTTCTGCAGCATAAGTGTGTGAGTCTGTGATACTGATGGTTAATAAATTGACTGCTCTGTAACATTCAGCACTGCAGGTGAGGAGAACATCTGGCTTGTGACAGACAGTCGACACCATGGGTTTACACTCAGCCCAGAAGAAGCACTTTCCCCTGCGGGGGATTGATGGTGTGGTTCAGCTGTTTGATGCTGAGCTCCGCAAGTCTGAGCCGGACCTGGCCCTTCTTTCCCTGGTCCTGGGTTTTGTTGAGCACTTCCTGGCTGTGAACCGAGTTATCCCCATAAACGTTCCAGGAGTGCGGTTTGAACCGCTGGAGCCAGACTGTCCTACCTCCTGCTTCCCCACAGTGGAGCTGGGCATGATCTCTGCACTGTATGAGCGGTTCACGGCCCAGATCCGTGGAGCAGTGGATCTGTCCCAGTACCGGAGGACTGCTGCTGGGTCCAGCAGGGAGCTGGTAAAGAAAGTGTCAGATGTGATCTGGAACAGTCTCAGCCGCTCATACTTCAAGGACCGGGCCCACATCCAGTCCCTCTTCAGTCTCATCACTGGTACATAATTACACGTATTATCATGAAATGAGTTTATGAGCATGTTTCTGAAGACATTAGTGTTGTCATGTTGAATTAAATGAGAACAATTCTTTATTAACTTTAAAACAGGTACCAAATTAGACAGCTCTGGGGTGGCGTTTGCTGTGGTGGCGGCCTGCCAGGTCCTCGGTCTGAAGGATGTCCACCTGGCACTGTCCGAAGACCACGCCTGGGTGATTTTTGGCAAAAACGGTGAAGAGACAGCAGAGGTCACCTGGCACGGAAAGGGCAACGAGGACCGACGAGGACAAACGGTCACAGCTGGAGTCAGTGAGAAAGTGAGGACCTACCTTCCTCTTGAAGCTTCTCTCAGAACTTAAAGAAACAACCAAACATTGTTGAAAGTAGTGCTGACCGATAAATCGTATTTTCATCATCATGGAGACCAGTGAGGAGTAAACTTTTTAGGAGTTGATAACAACAAGATTTAAACACGAGGAAAAGACACATTTTCAACTTCTCCCATCCACCACGGTTTGTTTTACACGAGTGCAGCACATTAACATTAAGCTAATACTGAACTGTTATGAACAAACTAAAAGGAAAGTTTTCTATGCAAACTCAGACAGCAGCAGCCCCCCACCCCCTTGCAGTGTTTTTTGACATGCATTTGTTTCCAGAGAGATATTATTGAGTTAATACACAGTGACTGCTGCTGTAAACATTATTATTGCTGCTTTAAAAACTAAAAATTCTATATTAAAATTCTAATCCAGTTGAAAATAATAAGAACCAATGCGAGTAGCAATAAAGAACCAGATAAGCTGTACTGTATTAATGAGATAAGATAAATATAACATTATATAGCTACACAGTCTCACTGCTGCAACCTCAACACTAGCCTCAAGAAACTTAAAGGAAACCTGCATTCACTGACTTGACAGATGGAGCCTGGATACATGGATCATGGTGTCAGTTTGGTGATGACTGTGCGGTTAGCTAGCACAATGGTGGAGGAAGACATAGGAAATGTATATGCACACTTCAATATTTTTTTATTTATCGCAAGTCATATCGCCATGGCAATATTGAACAGCGTTATCGCACATCGCAGATTTTCCTCGTATTGTGCAGGACTAGTACAAAGTTCACTATACGGAACAGTAAATAAAAATTCAGACGGGCACCATTATCATTTATTCATATATACTGAGCATGATGCAGCAGTCCTCAGTCAAATCAAGAAAGTGAAAGTAAAAGTTTACTGCACATATAATAACAGGTCTGAAAGGACAAGGCTTTATAGATGATTGATTTATAGATGCCAGTTTGAGACAGACAGAGTTCAGCAAAAACTGAAAAAGTGACTGGTTTCATGAGTGAAATGTTCCCTCAGGACAGAGGATGATACGGGTTACCACATGTATCTGAGGTTTTATCACAAGCCAGGCAACTCAATTCCTGAGAGATGTTTTGGCAGGATAATGAAGATGCGACTCATAAGGAATAAACTAATAACCAAGATGACTAAGAAGTGTGTCAAGTTCAGCCAAACTCTGGATCATGTAGCGTACATTTATTACAGCTGGTGTGAAGCTGTTAATTGATCTCTTGGTGCTAATATGTACGATCATTAGCCTGTGGATGCAGGGATTTTCCTCCTGCCCTGCAGAGAGCCGGTGTCTTACTCCAGTCCACGGGTTGTAGCAGTTCCACCTAAAAAATGATGTATGATATTTACTTCCTGTCCTGTGTGTGTCTGTGTCTCCTGTAGAGCTGGCTCTATCTGAAGGGCTCCTACATGAAATGTGACAGAAACATGGAGGTGGCCTTCATGGTCTGTGCTATCAACCCCTCACTGGACCTACACACTGACAGCTCTGAGCTGCTGCAGCTACAACAGGTGAGCACTAACAGCTGTAGTGTGCAGTGGGTTGTTACTGATCTGTTATTCTGAGAATGCCACAGTTTTCAGTTTCATTCTGAATGTTGGAGGAAATGGTGGCCTGAATGTCAGAGAGACGGGTGAAAACTCACGTCATCTCTCTCATTTCTCATGCAGTGTGGAGCTTAGAAATGCATTTTCCCTCATAATTACTAGACGGAATTTGAATGTTATACATTTGCACTCAAAAACTAGAATCACCTCCTCGTGGTTGTCTCCCTCCTCCACTCAGACTAGTTTCAGGTTACATCCCTGTTTATCCAGTCATAGAAAATATGAACCATTTGTGTGAAATTATGTCATAATTGCGGCATGAAGTCTTGAGTAATGGCTAAAAAGTGTTTTGTGAGGTCACACTGACCTTGACCATTGACCTTTAGCCACCAAAATCTAACCAGTTTGTCCTTGAGCAATAAAATATCTGTGTATCTTATTTCCAGTCACATCAGTGTTATTTTTTTTTTTTTTTTTTTTGTTAACATCAGTGAAACCCAACATTTCCTGCAGATGTGTCACATTAACACCTACCAGGAAGTGGAGGGATGATGCTCTTTGAGCTGTGCTGGAAATGAGTCATTGACAGTAGCAGTAACAGACCCAGCAAAGTAGAAGCAACTGGAAACAGTGTTTGTTGTAGAGAATAGAAATTGAGGTTAATATGACCTGACTGTTATACTGATGAAGTTGATGCTGTTGAACTACTTTAACAAGAAAACAGGTAAAGCTGGAGGGAGTGAGGTGTTTGCATTAACAGTTAACAGCATTAACCTGGTCCTGGTGATATAGGCTCTGCCAGCTGTGATGCAAATGGTTTAATCTCTTTGTTTTTTGCTAATGGAGGTTTTCAGAGTAAAGTGGCCATTTTTATGCCTTCGCGCCAGTGACAGTCAGAGCTGGAGGCATATTGTTTTTGGGTTTTCCGTCCGTCGGTCCCATTCTCGTTGAAATGATATCTCAGTAACACCTTGAGAGAACTTCTTAAAATTTGGTACAAATATTCCTTAGGATTTAAGGATGAAGTGATTATATTTTGGTGGTCGAAGGTGAAAGTTCGTGGTCAAGGTGATATCATGTTCTTGTGAATGTGATATATTAAGAATGCCCAGAAGAAATTTCATTACTTGTGACACACAGTGACCTCACAAAACACCGTAATCATACCTCACAAATTCATTCACTAATTATGACACAATTGAACTCACATGTCTATAAGGATAAAATGAAGTGATGACATTTTATATCCAAAAGGTCAAAGGTCGCCTTCACTGTGACATTATACTGTTCTGCAAAAACACTTCTGGTCATTATTCAACACTGCAACTGAGGAAGGAGAGACTGTATTTCCTGATACTTGGCTGATTGATGGAGGAAACAACCACGAGGCAATGATTCTAGTTTTTACATTTGAATGAGCAATCTAAAGAGTTACAAAAATACTTCAGTGATAAGAGAAAAGAGGTGTCGGTTGCTAGGTAACAGACATAACACAGCTCCTGGTTCTCTGCTGTGAAGGTAGATAAAGGTCCAGGCCACTATTTGAGAATCTGTTGTGACTGACTTTAGAGCTTTTACTATCAGTGATAAAGCTCAGCTCTTATGTTATACTTCCTGTTCTTTGTGTGGTTGAACAGAAACTCCTGTGGTTGCTGTATGAGCGAGGCGACCTGGACAGGTGAGTCTGTTGCTGAAGCACTGAAGTAATAAATCTCCACTTCAAACATTTCACTTGTTAACTGTCTTAAATCTTTATCCTCCTGCTCTGTGTACAAGGTATCCCATGGCCATGGGCACTCTGGCAGACCTCGAGGACCAGGATCCGATCCCAGGCAAAGAGAGCCCCCTGAAAATCCACCTCAAGGTGAGTGTCATGAGAGGGGTCCACAGGTCACAGCAGGAAGACTCGTGTATATAAAGAAGGATTTTTTTTTGGCTTGACTATTTCACAAAATATTAAATAAAATAAAATAAAAATAAAAAAAAAATAAAATATGAGAAACACATTTTAAAATCTTTTTATGGAAACAACATCATACATTCATTTATTTACCAAAACCAGCCTGATGGGGGCAGCTCCACTGTCACTTACTGTATTGTTAGTGGGGTTTCCCCTCTGCCTCTAACATGGCATCGTCTACAGTGAAGGATTGTGATATAAAAGACCAGGATGTTTAACAGGAAATCATATCCCCTGTGTTTCCTTGTCTCTCAGGCTGTGAGTTCTGCTCAGAGGCATTACAACAACGAGCACATCTACCCCTACATGTACCTCGCCGGGTTCCACTACAGACACAGGGACGTGCAGGAGGCGCTGAGGTCCTGGGCCGAGGCCGCTCAGGTCATGCAGGAGTGAGTTCACGCTGTCTCCACACACTACAGGAGTCGGGAGGCTGTGAGTGTAGAACCAGGCAGAAGTCAGTCCCGTTGACTGCTGATACTTTAAACCGGGAAGAAAAGACCATTATATTCTTTTTATTCAAAAGCTTTAAATCATTACCACACTCTTGACCAAGAACAACAAACACATGCAACGTACGTAACAACATACACACTGACCTGAGAGGTTTAGGAAAAGACAGAAGAGAATACCACAGTACGGCTGGGTCATATGACTTCAAAACAATATCACGATTATTTGAAACTTTTCCCTCGATTACGATTAATGAACGATTATTTTGACGTTTATCGGTCTCTCTGGTGTTTTTGAGCCATGCACTCTTCGTATTCAGCAATGTGAAAACAAACTGGTGGTGTTACCTTTGGTCCCCATCAATGTTGCATTCACTGATTCATACATTTGACTGACGAGACCCAATCAGGAGGTGAGGTTGGTGTCTATATCGTTGTTTAAAAAGTCTCAGGTTTAGAGATTGGAAAAGTCCAGAGTAGTGTGGACGCCGGGAGTAAACGTAGCCAGTGATGCGTTTTTAAACTAAAACGCATCAGTGTGGACGTAGCCTGAGGCTCAGTCTTTGTGCTTGTGTCTACCACATCACCAGCTTCACTTTGAGTGAACGCGGACTAATGTTAGTTGGACAAGGCGGAGACACATGACTGAAGGAGGTAGTATTTTTTTAAGGGGACAGTTCATGAATACACACATTAAAGGAAGTATTAACTGGATGAAACGTCATGAGCAAGATGAAGTCGGTGAGAGGTTCTGAATGTCAGTATTGATGCTTTTCAGTTACTTGCCAGAGCTTTGTCACAGCCAGGAAGTATTTCAAATGGACTCATTGATTAAATGTTAAAATCTGAAGATCTTTGTGCTGATTTTGGCACCAGTTTTGATTTAGTTTTAGTCCCTTGACAAATCTGTGTGAAAGTTCTAGTCACAGTTAGTCATTTTATTTTTATTAGTTTGAGTCTGTTTGAGGCTTTAGTCTGGTTTTCCTCAGTGAAATGTTTGGCTAAGCATTCTGACGCCATCTTGGATATGTACAGTCACCTTCGTCACAAGTGTTGTGTTCATCAATCATGACATAAGCATTAAGGGCAGAGAAGACTATTTGCCTGTTTGTACTGGACTTAAATTCTGGTTTATCATAGTTTTTCATCGATAAAATGAACATGTATGTTTTCAAAACCCAGGAGGAGTTCACTCCTGACAGTCTCAGTATAACCTGAACATGATGAGCTCCACCTGTCTGCTGTTTTATAGCTTCTGTTCTGTAAACATGGGAGAACAGTGATGAGCCAACAGCAGCGTCTCAGCTATCAGCTTCAGTCATTTCACCATGCGAGCACTAGGTGGCAGTAAACACCAGGCTATCTCTCCTGAACTGCTGTAATCAAAAAATGTAAAAGAAACAAAGTGAGTGTAACAGCCACATTACCTCAGAAAATAAGTGTTAAATTAAAGTGATGTGACAGTTGAGTCTCAGCTCTGGTTGAGGTTGTTCACTGTGACACGTCCACCACAGAGAAGTCCAGTCCCAGTCAGTGTGACAGGGTGTGGTGGCGGAGCCAGGAAGTGTCCGGCTCGGCATCCTCGCTCTGTCTCCTCCTCTTTAAACGCGCTGTTCATGAGCTGCAGCTAAAAATACTAACACTGACCCACCACACATTCCCTTCCCATCTCTCAGCTTCCTCTTCCTGCTCCCCCATTGTTCTTCAACGTCAGGCTCCCCCTCTGTGCGCCAGCTCAAGAGGGAGACGTGTGTGTGTGTGTGTGTGTGTAACAGTTGGTTCTTTGTAGTTGTAAATGCAGCAGAGTTCACTTCTTGTCATGTCTGGGCTGCTGTGATGCCTTCAAACACTGCAGTATGTTACAGCTCCACGTTTTCCTCTGATCTCCTCTTTTAATCTGAACCCTGTGGTGATTCCAGAGTCCTCCAATCAGCGTTCATCACCGTTATGTAATAAATAGTCTGACCTCAATGAAAAATTAGCGAAATCTAAACTTTAATTCCAAATGTTTACTTTAGTAGAATTTTCAAAATATGAATACAAAGAACATGGAAAATGTTGTCATTTTCAAAATATAAATATAAAGAATGTGGAAAACCTTATACATTTTTAAATATTATAAAGAACCATAAAAACCTACATAAACCATGGCACATTGTAAATAACCTACATTATAAGGCACCTTTAGGGAGGTTTCCTGCTGATCAGTGTTAGTAACTTAGTGATTGTATGTGCAGCTTTACTGAAAGTAAAGTCGGTAACGCATTTTGAGACATTGCTGTGGAGTAAAGGTTGTCTGCCCTCGGGGGGCCTCTAACAGCCTGGGGCAATAAGCGGTTGCCTGCCTTGCCTGTTCACAAGCTGTATCTCGGTCTGAAGCTCATGTTCAGATTTCTTTAATAGCGGCTGAGTGAACAGTCGTAGATTGAAGGAAATTAGATTTGAAATCATCTTCTCACTGTCGAACCTCTGTCTTCCTGCTGTCATTAAAAGTCTCCTCACTCCTGCTCCTGCAGGTATAATTATTTCCGTGAGGACGAGGAGATCTACAAAGAGTTCTTTGACATCGCAAACGATGTGATCCCCACTCTGCTGAAGGAGACCGCTGTTTCAGAGAGTCCTGGGGAGGGAGGGGAGGGAGGAGACGGAGGAGCTGACAAGGTGAGTATCCACCAGCCAGAGGAAGAAGTCAGATATCCTGACTTCTCATATCACAGGTGGGAGACCTGTGGATGTGGATGATAGAGTTTATTTATTGTAGCATCATTTCATATTGTGGTTGTCAGTGGAAAAAAAATTCCCATCTCCACCTGGTATTAACGTGATCTGTATTTGGACTCACCTGGATCAAATCTCACAGCTGTTCTAATGTAAGTGGAGACTGACCCTTCACACAAACTAGTTGTCAAGTACAGGTTAGTGAATGTTTACACGCAGTAAACGGCAGGTGAAGCTGACCAAAATTAGTTACCAACTAGAAAAGATTTCAGATTATAATTTAAATAATTTCTTAACAAACTAGCACAGCAAACATTTCCCGGTTCCTGAATGTGACATGATAGAAAACTGATCATCTTTAGATTTCAAACTGGTGTTTGTAGAAGACGTCATTTATTTAGATGTCATTTACACATTTTACAGACAAAATGACAAATTGAGAAAATAATTCAATAATGAAAATAATCATCAGTTCCAGCCCAACAACAAAGGACTGATTATACTCTTTTACAGAGAGCTGCAGGGATGTTAGCATCTCCCTCCGTTGTTGTTTATTTTCTCTAATAATTCAAAAGAAAGTTTCTGATCCTGAGGTTTAGTTCAGCAGGATCATCTTCACTAATGAACATCACTTTATGATGTTTGAAGTATAAATACAATCAGCAGAAGTAAAAAGCTAATGTTAGGCTATAAACCAACTACACCACAGTCACATGACTTCAACGTCTCCACCACTAAACTTCAACTAGTAGTTTGATTCAGCTCTGACCTCTTCTACAAAAGCCTTTCCTACATAGTTAGTGACAATTTATATAAACACAACGAGGCTGTAAAGGTGGACTGATGAGTCGATCGGTTTTCATGTTCAACGTGATGATGTTTAACGTCCCTGACAACCTCTGTAGTCTCATTTAGACACTTGTTAGCAACTGGCCTTTTATAAGTAGTCGTATTTTTAAGTAGTGGGCCAGGTGGGCAAACCAAATTGTGCATTTTATGACTAAATGAAAATTTCAACATATAATCTGCACACCCCAATGTTTTATTTCAGACATGGAGGCAATTTATATCTGACCTCTGGTGACCTTGAGAGGCCATTGACCTAATCTTTCCTGTTTCTGACCCATCACTCTCCATTATAATCATATACATCTTTGCCAAAATAGCATTTTTGTTCTAATTAAGATGCTTATTTGCTGCTATGGCCATGTAACATAATTTTGCTTATAGCACCAATTTTGCATGGGGACTGCAGACCCCACCATCTCCAGGTGTTAAGGTAGCTGTACCTTGTTAAGAACATTGACAACTTCTGCTGTATGTTCTATTACATAAGTGTCATTTGTTGGAAATTGTGAAATTTGAGAAATCAAGTAATTTCAAAGCAAATAGGGACATAAGTATTTGCAGACGTCTTTCACACCAGGCTGAGATGTGATCGTGGTGTGAGTCCGACCACCTCCAGATGTGGTGTGACAGGTCAGGTAAAATTCTGATTGTGTCCCTGTAACCCGGATCAGATGTCCAGATCCAGATCACAATACACCAGGTGGAAACAGGATATAAGTGTTTGTTTTGTGCTTTATGAAAATTCACAGCTGAATCATTTCATGTTGCTGCAGAGGCAAAACAAGCTTTTAGTGAAATTTATATCAAAGCACTAAATGTCGCTTCCTTCTTCCAGGAGCACCCCAAACAGGCTGCAGCCTTCTCAGCACTCCAGGACCCAGAATGCTTTGCCCACCTGCTGCGTTTCTATGACGGCATCTGCAAATGGGAGGAGGGCAGTCCCACACCGGTACTTCATGTGGGCTGGGCCACCTACCTGGTCCAGTCTCTGAGCCGCTTTGAAGCTCAGGTGAGAGACCCAGAGTAGCTCCGTCTTTGAACATCAGAAGCCAACTCTCTCACACACACACACACACACACACACACACACACACACACACACACACACTATGCTTTGTAGTTAAAAATATGTTTGTGGTCTGGTTCAAAGGTGCGTCAGAAGGTGTCCATCATCACCAAAGAGCCAGAGTCCCAGGACGATGACGACCAGTCCAGTGACGACCCCCGGGAGGGCCGCAGACGAGGCCCCAGGAGGGAATCCAAGCTAGAGGAGCAGAACTCTCCTCCTTCTGCTGCCCCCACCTCCCCACCCACTCAGCTAGCAGCAGCAGCAGCAGCAACAACTGCAGCGACTCAACTCAAGAAGGTGGGCGAGGGAGGGGGCCGCCGCCGCTCCTCCCAGGGCCTGCGGGGCGGTGATGCCGAAGGAAAACCCAAGTCCCCCAGCCCGGACTCTGCATCCTCACCCTCATCCCAGCAGCAGGCGTCCCCCTCCCTCGTCGGTCCCGTCGTCGTCTTCCAGAGCGAGAAGATGAAGGGGATGAAGGAGCTCCTGTGTGCGGCCAAGGTGAACTCCAGCGCCATCAAGCTGCAGCTCACCGCCCAGTCCCAGGTCCAGATGAAGAGACAGAAGAGCACGCCTGCCGGGGATTACTCCATGTCCTTCATGAAGCGGCAGCGCAAGTCGCTGTAGGCGCGGGGACTGCTGTGGGCGGAGATGTAGATCCTGTACGACATACTGTGAACACGGACACATGATTAACCTATCTTCTGTTTGTGAACCTTCTCATCCAGAGGTGGATTAGTTCCCAGCAATAGATCTGACCTGCACAGATGATGTTGAGTTTAATGTCACATATCAGGTTTGAACTGAAGGAACATGTCACTGTTTTTCTTTTCTGGGAGCTGCCTGGTTTGATAGATTGTAACCTTCACTCATTAGTTTGTGTTTTGATTGGCAGCCAATTGCACACTGACTATTAACTTCTCATTGACTTGTCTGTGGATGTTTGAAGCCAAAGTAACGAGGACGACCAGAACTCAGCGTACAGATGTGTAAATATCAACCATTAGGAACCTGCTCATGACTGAAGCCTTGGAAGTGATTAATTTAGGATAGTTACTGTGTAACATTGTCCACCTCTGCTCTATCGACAGCTTCTTTCTTGCTAGCTCTATGTTGCCTTACTTTGCTTTTGCTCTTTTCTAAAGTAGGTGGCCTTTAGTTTTGAGAGTAGCTGAGCTGGGCCAGTTTTTAAGGTGTTAGAGAAGACCAGGAAGACCATGCACTGTTGAGACAGAGTCACATTAGGTGGCCCTGCTACATCCTATTTGCTTGATGATTTGTCGTTTTTGTTCTTGTTTTGTATCTGCAAGTAATAAAGACCTGATGACAGATGTGACGAGGTCGGCTGATCTTTATTAGCTACAGACTAACAAGAAAAACTATAGCTGTGTACCAATTCAGGGGGCTGCAACCTCTGTAGGTCTAGATAGGTCTACGGGGGATTTTCACTGAGCGTCACCAGCTGCGGGGGAGGGCTACTCTCTACCCATAGGGAATGTGTTGGAGGCTTGTCAGATTTCCAGTCTAACAATATTAGCCCCCGTGTTATTAGTGAGATAAAGGCAGGTGCATCAGCCTGAGCATGTGACAGTGAAGCTTCCTATAGGTGCCACCCCAAATGTTGCAATTGCTAGATCTGGTTGTACTTCTTTCTTACAGAACCATGAAAAGATCCAGAATGGAGCCAGCGTCGGGCCAGCGTCGGGCCAGTCCAGAACATGTGATAAAGGGTGGCTTCCTCGTGTTTACAACGGGAGCACGTCGGGTCTGTTCCTGGGAACATCCTAGCATCCTGCTTCCAAGAGATGGAGTCAGTGTATTATTTTAAATGATCTTAGATGTTGAATGGATCCGTTCAATCGCAGACTGACAAACATCCTCTGAGAGTTCTCCTGTCTTCAATGATAGTAATATTAATAACAGTGATAGTAGCAGCAGTAACAGCAACAATAATGTTTTAATGGTAACTGTAATGCTCCTACTGATATAAGCAATAATGATAGCTAATAACAGTAATAATAATTATTGATTATGATAATTAAACAGCTGGGGTTGAGCAGGATAATGGGGCGGTCGGTGGTTTGCATTTGCAGATCCAGACTCTACAGCTCTGGAGGTGGGAGGACCTGCAGAGAGGAACAGGAGGAAAGAAAGAAAGAAAGAAAGAGAGGAGGATCAGAAGGGTTAGGTTTCATGTTGGTGTCTTTCTCCACCACACACAGAGCTGATGTTCTTCTGCAGTTCAACCTCAGTCTCATCAGTCCATCATGTCCCAGTAGTGTTGTGGAGAGTCAAACTTCAGCTCCATGATGCAGCAGCTTCCTCTGCTGCCTCCGAGCTTCATGATGTGTGTGTGTGTGGTCCAAGGGCCTAGGTTTGCATATGGACAGTAGAGACATGTCCCTACCAGTGTTCTAGGAGGACAGAATCGTCCCGACTAATATTTGAGTGAACTCGTTCGCACTGTGTAGTAAGCATCACACTTACAGCCAGACAGGGAGGAGGGTGGATCAGTGTGACAACGGTACGTTATCAGAGTCAGTCCAGATCTCAAACATTGGGTAAAAATATAGTAGTCCAGATGCCTCCCTGTCCTCCGTTGTCTGAAGTGCAGCACATATAACTTCATGTTGTACTTTGTAGACGAGAGACATCAGGAGCTTTCTCACCAGCCAGAGTCAGTAATAGTAAACTAACCAGCCAGCAGCCACACTGATTTCAAATGAAAACCTGCTAGCTAGCTAACGTCACCAGCCTTACATCATTAGATTGTTCATACTGATGCATCAGTGGATTAGCAGCATTTCACTGCTGTAGCTGGTCGAGGTGGAGCTGCTTGTAAATGTGAACTCAAAGGGAAAAGGTATATTTAGTTTTTCCTCTCTTTTCCATTAACAAGTCATTTCCTTAAGTTTACTTTCTTTTAATCTTTGATGTGTTACTGTGTATAGTTTTTATTGAAATGTAAATACAGATCATATATGTTAATAAACCATTCTGTTGACAGCGTTAAAAAGTCTTCTTTGCCTGCTGGAGTCTCAGCTGGACGTCACTGCATTATCTCCATCTACAGACAGTCTGTGTGACTGATGAAGATCTAAACTATGTGACCCTGTCAGCGTCATGCTCATCATCTCTTCTTCATCCTCAGTCTCTGAGATCTTTGTCGTGAGACATCACCTGAGGGGTTCACACACACCGTTTCCAGCTACACTGTGAATGTCTGAACAAGGACAACACATTGATTTCTGTTAAAGGTTAGTTAAAATAGATTGTGTTTGTTCATAGTTGTAACTTCATTGTTCATTGGTTCACTTCCTTTTTCTTGTCACTGTATCAGGGCGCAAGTTCTCAGGTGACTGAGCTGAACACTGTGGTGTCTGTACACTGTAAAAAATCTGAACACAAAGGTCATGTCCTACATTCTGCAGATCAGTGGTACAGGAGTCCAGCTCTCTGACAGAGGAAACTACAGCCCAAACACTAGTCTGGAAAAATAAGAACATAAATGAGAGGTCTGTGAGGAATGAGGAAGAGCAGTCTGAAACTGAAACCTTGGTATTTATGTCATGTAACTGCGGCTTTTAGTGGCAGACTGAGCAGAGATGAACCAGTCACAGCAGCCTCATCCACAGCCTAAATATACACAAACACTAAACAAACACAAAAGCCAAAACACGAATAACAAGACATGAAACGCAGATTCAAAAGAACATGGGAGATACGGAGGACTGACACTGCCAAATTCAAAAATAACTAAATAAATTAAATTATTTATTTTATTTACTTTTTCTTTTGTTATTATGTTACTTCATGATGCATTCAAACAATGTGATGTGTGATTGGTCTTTTCTATTCAAACCTTTTGTACCTATTGTAACCAAAGGTAATGAATCTACAGAAGCCTAATGCATTCACTTGAGAAAAAAATTCTGCCGTTTTCCTGAATCAACGATATAATTATCCCAGACTTCTGAAATAATGATCTTGTTAATTCAGAAAAAGTGGATTTTTCTGAGAAAAGTTTTCTCTAAAATAATTAAATAAATAAATAATAAAAATTCCTCAGAGTTCTGAGATAATTATTACTTTAATCCAGAAAAACTGAGCAATTTTTTCCTTAAGTTTCATAAGGAAGCATTACACTTTCGTATGAAACTGACTTAAAAGAGATAATACAGAAGCAACTGAGGACCAATGAAATAAATCAAACCAAGGCTTCCCAGAAGTAAATCGATAGATAAATAAATAATAATAACATAAAAACAGGTGTTTTTGCTTTGGTTTGCATCTGTCCGATAACCACGCCCCCTCATTTGAAGATAACAGATGGAAATAAAGAAAGCTAGGAAATAAATGTGGCATTATAAAATAAAAGTCCTCACAAACAAATAAATGTATAATTTTTTATATATTTTTTTTTAAACTAAAATATTTTTCTTTTTGTAAAGACTTTTTCATATGTAATTCATTTTTATTTTCCTGTCAGTACAAACAGCCTGAGCCTCCGTACAGAGTGAACACACAAACAGGGGCTGACTTGTGTTGACATGTTTTACAGTGCGCACTCTCTGCTCATGCGTGATCTGACTCCAGCACCGCTCGGAACTATTCGCACTCAGACGCTTTCTGTGAGAGTGAGTGTGTGTGTGTCTCTGTGTGTGTGTGTCAGTGATCGCGGAGTTGTGTGTCTGTGTCACTGATTAGTCCTGTGTGTGTGTGTGTCTGCCTGTGCGATCGATACTGCAGCAATTAGTCATCTCCAATTAATTCCCATTAACCAGCCGGTTAGAGTGTGTTCATCTGCTGCCGCTTCCTCCTCCAACAGCAGCCGTGATGTGTGAGTAGAAAGCCCGCCAGGCTCAGCCACAGCACCCGGAGAGGTGTCTCCAAACATGGACAGGATAGGGGTGTCATTCCTGGACCCTCTGGATGACTACGAGTTAATTCACAGGATTGGGTGCGGCACCTATGGAGATGTGTTCAAGGTGAGTGAGAACGTTTCCTCGTGTTTTCAGAATTAAAAAAAAATCCTCCTTCAGGACGAAAGATTGTGTCACTGCACAAACACTACAGGGTTTCTCACTTCCTGTCATCAAGGTGAAACTGTGCCTTATTGGAGAAGTGTGTGTTCTCCATCAAGAGCACAGCTGCATAAAGAGAGCTCAGAGCTGAGAGACTCATTATCAGCTCTGAGGGTTAAATTACACACAACAGAGGAGGTGGAATTTCAAAATAATGGTCATGTTCCAAAAATGGTGAAAGTATTCTAATTCATGTTAGTATTGGAGATGGGTGTGTGTGTTGTTGTGTTGTGTGTGTGTGTGTGTGTGTGTGTGTGTGCGTGTGTGTGTGTGTGAGAAAAAAAAAAGCCGTTTAACACTTTCAGTTATTATCAGCTCTTATTATCAGGCAGGTGTTTCACAGAGCACAGTGTCAGCCTGTTGCATCAGTGGTGCCACAGGCTCATGTTGTTTTCACATGGGGGGGCATATATTATATATATATATATATATATATCATAATATGTCAAGTGAACTTCATTTCTAGAACTCATTTAAACACAACTTGAGCTGAACACTGCGCTGCTCAAAGGGCAATTAGTAATTAAAAAAAATAAATAAATAAAAGCAAGTAAAAGAAATGTATAGAATAAGTAAAACACAAGGAATACATAGTAAATATACTGTATACAGAACATGTAAACATGCTGACAAAAACAAGAAACAACAAGGAGCAAATACACAATTATGTACATGACAACGGACTAAAAGGTTAGAGAGCTAAAAAGGCCAGTGAATAAAAACGGGTCTTTAGCCGGGATTTAAAAATAGAGATAGAGGGAGCACATATAGCAGTGACTGCAGAAGCTCTGTCACCTTCTAGTCAGTCGTGATGGTGGGACAGACAGGAGAGATGAGCTTTCAGGAGCTGAGTATCAATGAATAAGGTCTGTGATGTGAGGTGGGGCCTGGACTTTAATCTGCAGGGTCTTAAACTGAATTCTAAACTGAACGGGGAGCCAGTGAAGAGAGGCTGAGACTGAGGTGATGTGCTCATTCTTTTTAGTGCCAGTCAACATCCAGCTGCAGGCGAGATAGTGAAGACTGTTGAAGGCATGGATACAGAGAGTTACAGTGGTCCAGTGGAGGGTGTGATGAAGATGTGGATTACTTTCTCCATATAATTGAAGGACAGTTTAAGTTTAGTTTGGTTCTTAACAGAGGTGATGTGTTTGTCAAGGCAGAACTCAGAATCAAGGATCACACCCAGGTGTTTTGCGTGAGACTTCACATATGGCTTGATGTCTAATTTTCAGTTTAT